GTAAATTCCACATGTCAATATGAAAAGAATGTGTGGTAAATTCCATATGTCAAATTCATTTGTTCATTTTCCATCCATTATAATTAAAAATTAAAAATAAAGTACACCTAATTTATTTAAATTTGCATAATGTATATGCAAAAAAAAGAAAATATGTAAATGAGCGAGGAAATAATGAGAAAAGGAAGAATTAATATTATCAAATTATTCATTGATATCAAAATTCTCTAAATTAAAATTTTAGAAGAAAATTGACAAATTAAATATTCTTTTGAGATTTCATGGGAAAAAACAAAGGGTTAGTAAAGACAGGAATTAAATTTTTGATAAGATCTTAATGCTGTAGCATTTCAGATAGAAATTTTAATATTCTTGGAAACTTAATTACTCACAACTTAACAATATGGGATTTCATTCTTTGATCATCCAATCATCTTTGTGATATCTGGTATCTCGGAATATCAGTATGTTTTCTAATAGCTTAACAATATGGGACTATAAGAAGATATCATGACCTAATGCTTTCAATTTAAAATTGATACAAAAGATTTCATTACTTATTTAAGAATCATTTTTCCTTTCAATTTACTGTTTGATAAGTGTCTTATCAATTAAACAATTTCAATAAATCAGCAGTACGTACGTCATTATTTATTATCTATTTATAATTTATTATTATTTTCCTCTGTTATTTCAGTTTTGAAATATAAATTTGAATTTGGAAGAGATTTTAACTTCGTAAAGATCAGAACTTCCTTATCGGAAAAGAAGATATCAATGTAAAAGAGATGACATCTATCATTGAGTTGGAATATTAAAATTAGTCTAAATTTAGTTTTGAAACAGCAAAAAGAAAAAAGTAGAGAATAAAATGTTATGAATGAAATGAGGAATAAACTTGCAATCTTATTTCCTACTTTTTCCATCTAACTGGAGGACTTTTCAATCAATATTCATTTTTAATTACATTTTCAAATTACATTTTGAATTTCAAAGAGTGTTAAATTAGATTTTTTTAATTGTATCCAAAACTAAACAAATAATTGGAATTGATTAATTAGTATAAAGAGAGTAGATTAAGATGCGAAAACTTGTGAAGAGAATGTTCTGAAGTTCTACATGGAATGAATGGGATGCTGAAAATCGATGGTTTTACTAAAAAAATTATCTTGAACAGAGGAGAAATAAGCAGCCACGGATAGACCAAGGATAGAACATTTTTCAGTACAATTTTTTTTAGCACAAAATGATCCTCTCACTTTGCATTTCGTTTCATTTCACAATTATTTTATCAATTGCATTAATCACTCGTTTACCTTACTAATAGAAAGGTACTGGCCTTTAAATTGGATTATCGATGCTTTCAGAAGGAAAGCAGCTAATATTATGAATATTTATGAAATATACCGCCGATCTTAAATTACCGCTTCAGCCTCAAAAAAACCTCGAATGCTAATTTTTTTCTAAAAGTTTGTTGGTATTCCAGATCTTGATGAGCAGCAGATACCATTGTGCTCTCAGTGTCTTTCGGCATTTCTACATTCTCAATCTGCTCTGGAAAGTAAGACCGGCCAAAATTCCTCATTAAATCACCGTCTGATATATTCAAAAACTCAACCGCTTTTTATTTGATAAGCGGATAGCTATTAGAATATTGATATAATATTTTTTGCCGATCGATAAATTAACAACCTTCGGAAACATATAACGATTCATCAGGCTATGACCTGAAATCATTGCACAGAAGGTGTTAGGTCATGTTTCCTGTTACATGGCATCCAGCATGAGAAATGTGAAAAAGACCGGCATTTTTCTATTGCTGTAATAATTCTTTCCACTAATACAGTACAAAGAACGACCAAGCGTAAAACTTGATCGTATGTTACATAAAATGAATGAACACAAAATGCGGAAAATGGCTATTCTAACAGCTTTAATACTGAACTACCCGAAAAAATATACGAATGTCAAAGATTCAAATTGACATACTATATGAACAAAAAAACAAAAAAAAGCTACCATGCATTGAATTGATGTGCAAAAAGTTATTAATAAATATTAATAAACAATATCCTGTCTCTGTTCTAGATAGGAAAAAACACGTAATGCCAAGCATGAAATATGCTTGTAGGAACCATAATATTATGGAACAGGAAATGAGATGAAATGTCTTGCTTGCTCCCCGAAGTTTTGAAATCAAATTAATCACGCAAGGAAATCATAGCTGTCAGTATATGCAATGACTTCCTTACTTGAAGAGTAAAATCCGGGATACAAATGCATTTGAAGCAGAATATTTTGTAAATCGGATCCTATCATCAGATTCTGAGTAAGTTGTCGGCCGGATTCTTTGACGAACATGAACAGTAAAACCGAAAGACTACTTCTATAGGAAATTTTATCAAAAAGTCTTGGATTAATGTGAATGTTGATAATTCTTTAGAACAAGACTGTAGAGCAGAAGAAATGAATAAAGCAACTGTAATATCCGAAGTTGAACAGAAAAAGCTCTTAATAAATTTAAAAGAACTTAAATTATTCTACTTCTGTAACATATCAAACATCACTTTAAGAGAAGGAGTATAGTAAGTTGGTATCAAATCTTCACGTCCCTGTTTTTCGAATTCTCCCACTTTATCCAGGTTGTGCACTCCCGTACCTACCAAAACCGATGTCAAACCATTCACATGACCGAATTTTATATCTGTTTCACACGAGTCACCAAATATCACTGATTTTTCAGCCTTGACATTGAACCTAAAAAGAATTCTCAAAAAACCAAAATCAACTTCCTCTCATTATTTGTACACATATAGAGCTAACTGAAAAATGAAATTGTTTAAACATTTGACTTGTTTTTATGTCATAGAATGAATAGCTGATGACATTTCCTTACAAGCTATACAAATCAATATTCACGGCTTCGGCAATCATAAAATTTGATAACATACTATTGGGCAATTAGAAGTACCTGCTAAAGAAGGACAAATAACACGAAATTACGGCCAGACATGGAGAGCAGCACGGTGCAACGCACTGATCTACCATTAATTTTAGTCAAAAATAGTAAAATGATATACCTCTCCTTGATGTATTCGAACATTGTATTGCTAGGCTTACCAATTATGATTGGTTCCTTATCAGCAGCTGTTTGAACTGCTCTCATACTTACACCTGATCCTGGTATAAGAACACCTAAAAATAGAGTTCTAAGATCCATTTCACAAGACAACTTTTCGCTTGAACTGCGAAATTACAAGAAGTTAATTAATTCCTTCCAAATTTTTTCTGCCGCTGGAATATTTAGTACTTAGTTAAGAAATATAAAAGTACTATTTACCTGGTACAGGCCCAGGCAGCCTTGGGTCTGGATTGGTAGCATAAAAACGTACTCCTGGCTGGTTGATATAGTTCGCAGCCCTCATTATTTTAGGATAGCTTATATGTATATCGAAACTAACTACTACAGCTCTCACTTTTCTGGACGTATCCATTTGTTGTATGGATTCAACGCTGGTGTAAGACTCGACGGGATCGGGCCCTATTCCAAAGCTTTCTATTCCTTCTTTTTTCAATTCTCTCTAAAACACGAAAATCATATCTGAAAGTAACAAAATCAAACTTTAGAAAATAGTACTTACTTGTAAACCACTGGAACCGACAACATACACTGGCAAGTCGGACTTTTCCTTGGCCAATATATGAGCCAAAACTTTAGCTGGTGATAAGATGTGACTATCAGATATCATATCAAAACCTATTTGTCTACATTTCTTTGCGTAATCTTCCAGCGTTTTAGTTGAATTATTTGTTGTTACGAAAACATCTTTGCCTGAAAATATTTCATCTTTAAAGATTCAGCAGAAGCTGAGAGTTAGAAAATGATGCCTCTAAGAAGAATATTAAAATGATTGATATCAAAGATAGTTTCAGTTTTCCTCTACATTCAAGAGAGTTCGCAGAAAACTAAACTGGTTGCAGTTTAATTCCCAATATTTCTTAGGATGTTTATGAAGGTGAGCACGAGAAGAAGGGATGAGGGAAGAGAGAGAAAAAGAAGGGGGATAAGAGTTGCAGTAGACACGAAATATTTTGAATTTTTAGATTTTTTTCCACACAGTCTTAAAATTGAAGGAAAGGCTGTAAATGCAAACCAGCAGATATGAGATGTCGCAAGAAATCGGCAGCACCCGGTAGCGGAGTGTCACCAAGCCAGAGCACACCGTCAGCATCGAAGAGGAATGAGTCGAACGAATTGATCAGCTGGTGACCGTCTGCCTGTTGTACCCTTGACATGCCCTGCAGTAACAGCAATTAATTCCTGAAATGTTTCATTGCCTGATATTTAGCAATTTACTGCGGCTGTATCCTCATCAATTTTCACAGCTCACATGATCTCTTAAGACTAAACGAAGTCTTCGTATCTGATTCTTCCAGTCTCGGGACTCTACAGTATTTTGCCAAATCCCAGACCTTTGAATCTCAGATCTTTCGGCTATTCCTGAGTGAGAAAATATAGCCTTTCTCTATAGCTCTTATTATTATTTATTAACATTTATCTTATTAAATTGTGAATCGATGATTATGTTGATTTTCATAGTAGTCATCTTAATCCTCCTTCTCCCAGTCTAATTTTCGAAAATGAGACTGTTTTTTCTCAATCACGGGATAAATTGAACTGATGGAGAAACGATTAGAGGGATGCATGGGTAAGTAATTGAAGACGAAGAAGAGGAAGAAAATGAACAAAAGGAAGGAATAGAAATGCAGGACAAGGGGAAGGAAATCGTTCACGATAAATGGAACCATAACTACGTTACGTATCCGTAAAGTCCATACTTCCTCAATGTGACAATATCAAACAGAGAAATATTCCACTTTTCCAAGTTTCGCATGTCATAATGTATAGATGGAAAATTATTGAATAGAACGGAGGCTCATCAGAATCAACAAAATATCTATTTCAAAAAATCATGATTTATTGCTATTTATCATAATTTATGGAGCTGCAACAGTTTATTAATGCACCAAAACGAGATCTTGCCAAATCAGTCGATATTAAAAATATACGGTACTGTGATTGTCCTAATTACATCATTTGGCATCAGTTCAAGCTAAGACAAGCAGGGTGGGGTTTCGTCATCACTGGTCAGTGTAGTGGTCAGCGGGCGCGCGGAGCGGTGCGGCGGCGGAAGTTGGCTTCGGTGGTGGTGAGCTTAGTTGGTAGGGAGTGTGTGCGTGGGCCCTTGTCCTATCATTCGGATGGGAGAGCCTTGCGTGAATCACGTCACATGATAACCTGTGTGAAATGTGTGAAATCTGTGCTTTGCGTATGTTGTTTGTTACTTTCAATAAATGATGCGCTCTACTTTGCGTGCATGCTTTCGCGCGTGTGCGATATGTCGTTGTTGATGATGATAGTTGTTGTTGTTGTTGTACTTCATATGAGGGTCGCGAGGGGAAATGAAAGGAGAAGGATGGATGGAAGTCTCGGATTCGGTAGCACCAAATATGTTCCAAATTCTGGGCAAGCTGCAAGGAGTATCTCTGTGTGTGTGTGTATGTTTGTGTCTGTGTCTGTGTCTGTGTGTGTTACCTTTGCGCATTTATGAGATTACCGCAGTTCGTGCCAGGTGGTGCGTGGGGGTGAGAGGGAAGGGGAGTTTTTCCCTTTGTTTGCAAAAGTGTCTGATGATCACCGCCGGTGTGATGTTGTTGTACGACGTTGGCCGATGATACTCTGTCCACGCCGAAATATTTCGTATTATTTCACTGTTGATACTTCACCCTTCCTGTATGTAATATAAAATTTCTAAATTATGCTGTTCATCTTTACCCTTAAAGCAACCCAGCAACCGATTTTCTCGGCTTGCACCAAAGATTTCATTTTACATCCTCAGGTTGGTCAAGTGGGTGGGGCATTTCTCGCTTTTAGCTTTTAATTTTTTCAGTAACTTTTTAATTGTTTGGTTTTAATGTTTTGTTCTCATTATAAAGTTTGAGAAAATCGAAAGCTTGTATAATGGAGTTAGTTTAAATGAATATTTTATTGACAGGCGAGAAGTATGCAGCTGTTTCTTCCACCTATTTGAACTCATTCGGAAACTGAAAATTTGTTTAGATTGTATCACTGATTTCTTACGATTCTGCTATGAATATTACTGCTGAACAATGGTTACTTTACATTCTTTACACGTATAAGCGTTTAAAGTATACTTAATTTTCTCTCATTATTTTTCACTCCTTCATGAATTTGGTAATTTTGGATTATATTTTATTAGTATGTTGCATGCTTATCTACCCCTTTTATTAAGAGAAGAAGCTTGGCTCCTTCAACGGTCAGTGGGTCTTCATCATCGTCTGCGGTAAAACCGTGCATTTTGTTCGATAGCGATAGAAAATTGCGGGAACGGAAAAAACACAAATTGAACACATTAGAAGTTAGTACATATTTTCTGGAATTTTGTACAATAAATCGTGATTTAAGAATGATTTCTGAATGGAAGTACCGGATATTTTGTTCCTTGTCTTTCAAAGATTGTCGTGCAGCAACCAATCACTTCACATTTGCCCTTGGGTTGGGGTTCCTTCAATTTGATCCTTACAATTAGGGCTAATCTCGCATCCGTCTCTCGTAAATATGTTGGTGTGTGACCTACCCGTAGCTCCGAATATGTGTGGGATAGATTGCGCAACACATATCGGTCCACGGGAGAGCTACACATTGACTGACTCGACCTTCCCGCCGTTGCTGACCTCTTCTCATTGTGATCTATTGATTCTATGTCTTTGGCAGCTCCTTCTCAATATCCTCTAGTGTATTCAATTTGTTCCACACAACTTGTCACAAGCACCTGAATTCTCATAATTTTGCTCTTTTTTTGTTCTTCCTTACCTTGGAAAACTAGAGAGGTGTTCGATGCAAGATCCAGTACACTTCATACCAAAGATATTTGATATTTTTGCCGCCAAGGTCATTGCTTAGAATATATCATGTTCAGTTTCTATTTTATCTGGTTGCGATAAAATTTTGTGACTTCATGCTTTCTTACAAAAATCGGCATGTCGGTTAACCTAGTTTGTTATTTTTTCTGTTTTTTGGAATGCTATCATTGTGAACTACGTATCGGGAAAGCAAATGCTTTGTTTTATAATACTTAGACTTTTCTATCATTTTTATTTGGTTTGTAAGTTGACTAATGCAGTTTTCAAATCTGTAGTAAAATGCACTTGAGTCCGTATTTTCAGGATGAAAATTCTGATCGAAATGGGCTTGAAGGCCCATATCGTAAAATCTCAACCACATCTATCGATAATTTGATGCAAAAAGAACAAAGTTTCCATGAAGAAATGATCAGCAAGCTTCTGAGCAGGCCTTTCAAAATGCCCATTCCTGATTACAGAAGTAACTGTCATCTCTGTATATGCCATTTTCGTCCTATATTTTGAACTTGTTAGAACTGACTAGTCGTCCCCTAAAGCACGTGTTATTTCACATCGGCATGGCGGCTGTCGGTTAACCCGTAGTTTCGAACATGTGTTGATATACTTGATAACACATGTCGGTTCTCGGGTCAATTGCTCACTAGCCGTGATTCCAAGCCGATATCCATCACTATTGCCTATCCGATGTATGTAAATGTTTTAACATTTAGTAGTAATATTTTGTTTGATTTTCTTGGATCTTAATGCACTTTGGAGGATTAGCGACTGCCGAAAAGACCACTGAATAACTAGATTTTATTTTGACAGGTCCTGGTAGGGCTCGTCCTCTTGGCCTCCGTCATTCAACGGTTCGCTGTGCACTCTTCGATCCGTATGCTGAAGGAGCATTAGTGCTATTCACACCACCGGAACTTAGTGCACATGATGCACTCAAACTTGATACTACTAACAAGCAGGTGAACATCGCTTCACTTATTATTCGCTTCAAGTTCAAGTTACCGCATGACATAAATTAATATGAAACAACAGGCTTTCCTGCTTTGGCTTCTTACTTTGGATATGTTGTTGTCTTACCAGTTATGAAATCCGAATTGTTGGCTGGCAGAAGATTTTTGCGGTCTCATCAAAATTTGATGTTTCCAGCATAATTGGTATGTGAAAAATTTATAACGACTTAAATATTTAAAGTTAAATTACAAGGTACATGTTGTGGTGGATCCAGTGCTCAGTTCCATTCTGCGACCTCATCAACGGGAAGGTGTGAAATTTATGTATGACTGCGTCACCGGTGCTCGCATACCTTCCGCTCACGGTTGTATCATGGCTGATGAAATGGGTTTGGGCAAAACGCTGCAGTGTATCACGCTAATGTGGACATTACTTGTATGTCTATTATCATGTAATAATTGAAGGCCTGTAATAGTTTTGTATTGTACACTAACAGCGTAAGATTTACATTGCTGAAAAGTAACCGTTCGTACTGGAAGATATTCCATAATAAACGTAAGCTACCTTAGCGAGTGGTATTGTGTTGTTGCTAGCAGTTAAGTTGTCAGCTTATAAAGTTCACGGTCTAAATATGTGAATAGATGATGAGAAGAAGAGAGGCAGAAATGTGCTTTTTTTGAGTGATAGTGCGTGGCACCAAGAAGGAAGCAAGAAATTGAAAACAAATGAGGTTTCGAAATGTTTGAATTTCTGAATTGAATCTCACGGGAATTTTCATAGAAGAGGAAAGTGTAGGAGCAGTTTCACCCTGACAAATATGCTTTGGTCAGAGGGAAGACGCAAATATCAGATCTTTGATCAGTTTTAGCATGTATTAATAAAGGATAACACAATGAAACCAGTAGAACTCAAATGTTTATTTTATTGAAGAAAACTAAGTTGGGATGGATGAAGTTATTTAAACGCAAAAAAATTACTTCAGAGGCAAGGACCAGATGCGAAGCCGACATTGAACAAGACAGTGATCGTTTGTCCGAGCAGTCTTGTCAAGGTTAACCTTGCTTTGCCCATTTTGGCTACACTATATTCTTGAGATAAAAATACGATGAGAGAGGCTTGTATGCCTCAGGATAGAGATTAATGATCATGTCTGCTTATTCCAGGAAAGATAAATATTACAAACATTTGACCCTTATGACACAAATAAGTGTACACTTATTTGGTTTAGTCATTCATCACGTCACAGTGCAGCTTTAAGAACGGAACTTCGTTTTTTGAAGAGTTACTGCTAGCAGTCACTGAAAAACACAGCTTTATGTTCCGGAAAAGTTTATATTTCGAGTTCTCTGTGGTAGGATGTCTCTAACTAGAGATTTATAAATTTCCAGAACTGGGATAAAGAAATTAGAAAGTGGCTTCGCGGACGAGTGAACGCATTGCCCGTGGATTCAGGAGGGAAAGACGAAATTGACAAGAATTTAGGTTTGTCTGATGCATTTTAGAATCTCTTTTAGTGTCCAATCATGAGATTAAATAGCAAATAGCAAATACTGGCAAGGATAAACGAAGTCTCTTTTTTGTTTATTAAAGGTAATAACGATAGAAATTGTTGAATAATCTCTTTTTTATGGTATTTCAGAAACGTTTATGTCTCAGATGGGTGTACGTTGTCCTACACCTGTACTCATTATTTCCTATGAAACTTTTCGGCTTCATGCCTCTATCTTGTTGCAGAAGGAAATTGGATTAATCATTTGCGATGAGGTTTTTTTTGTATCGTTTTGTGTCTTTTCCTATTTCTTCTTATCTGTAAAATGTAGTCAGTCTGATAGCTCTAGTGATGAGATATTACTGATGAGATATTATTCAGATAACATTTTACATTGGTTGCGTATATTTTCAAGCTCTACCGTTCTGTTTCATTTCATAATTCATTTCATAATCGTTTATGGCAGCTACCTGAGAGATCATTATCTGTTTTTTTTGATTTAGCTTCAAGATACTTTTTCAAAATCATTTTCGATATTGCTAGTGGTAAATTCAATTCCTCTGCTGAAGAAAAGAATCACATCTCTTTTGTTATGCTCCTTCCTATTTCATTGTGCGATATTGATTGCACCTTCATTTTTGCAATGATTATCAAATTTGTATTAATTGTAAGATTTATTTATTATCGCAGGGTCACCGACTGAAAAATAGTGATAATCAAACATATCAAGCGCTTTTCGGTTTAAAATGTGAGAGACGAGTACTTATTTCCGGCACTCCAATACAAAATGATCTTTTGGAATATTATAGGTTGTTGTAATTTTTAAGAAATCTTCAAAACTTTCAGTGAAGTTTGGCGGACATTTTTATTTGGGGCTCATTTGTCAAACTTATCATGGTCATATACCACTTCATTAATAATCAATTTGATAGAGACACTTCAAAATTGACCGTCAATCAGAGAATTATCTTATCATGAAATTTTTAAATTACTTCTAGTCTGATAAATTTTGTCAATCCTGGCTTACTTGGAACAGCCTCAGAATTTAAACGACGTTTCGAAAATATTATTCTCCGTGGCCGAGATGCTGATGCGACAGATGTACAACGCGAAAGAGGTGATACTGCACTTCTCGAGATGTCTTCTATTGTGAATAAGTGTATCATTAGAAGAACATCTGCACTGCTCACGAAATATTTACCGGTACAGTGTTTTATCTATATTTTAGACAATTATGACAAGTATCTAAATGAAATCGTTTGTTGCGTACTCCATGCAATGCATTTATTTATTTTAGGTCAAATATGAGCTTATTATTTGTTGTAAGTTAACAGAACTGCAAGAGAAATTGTATAATCAACTTATTAGTGCATTTTCAATCAATGGGAAGCAGAAACTAACTGAAAGTAAGTGTTAACTTCTATCTAAGTTTTCAATCATATATGGGAAAGGGCTGAGATATATTTTATTCTCAAGTTTCCTCCCACGCGATGATTAATGGAACAATTATGTTTATTCACAATTTCAGGTGATAAAATAACGGGTACAGCGCTCTCATTCATTACAAATTTGAAGAAACTATGTAATCATCCACAACTGATACTTAATAAATGCCAGAAGAAAGAAGAAGGATTTGAAGGTTTCATTCATTTGGTACAAATTATATAATTTTTTAGCAATAATACTCATTGTGCTAATAATTGCACACTGTATAGTAATTTTCTAGATTGCTTAAAATTGTTTCCTGAAGAATTTGGCAGAAAGTTTGAGCCAGCATTTTCTGGAAAAATGAAAGTTCTAGACTATCTGTTAGCAGCAACAAGAGCCACTACGAATGACAAATTTGTTCTGGTGTCTAATTATACACAAACGATTGATGCATTTGTTGAGGTAAGTTTCGGAGTTTACACATTTCGTTATTTTAAATGAACAATTGTTTATTTGTTCACCAATACATATCTTACAAATCATATGATTTAGTAGTGTTCAGTATGAATCAAATAATTAAATCAGTTTGTGATAAAATTGAAAATTGACGAACGAAGATTGTTTGATGTAGAGGTTCATTTGTCCAAATTATTTATAGCGGCCTATTTATGCAGATTGTATGAAGAGGCGGACGAAAATGACCATTAAATATGCAGGTCGGTGTTATGACTGTATAAAAAAAAAAACCTTCAGTTGTGCCAGCTTCGAAGCTATCCGTATATTCGTTTGGATGGGACTTGTACAATTAAACAGCGAGCGAAATTAGTGGAGAAATTCAACGATCCTGAGGTTACATTTAATTGGTCTAGGAATTATGATTATATAAAATTTGTGATTAAATTATTCATCAGGTGGTCATTTTTTTGAATCATATCTGAGTTCTCGGTCTTGTTAGAGTGATGAAAGAAATAACCGAAAATAACTACAAACATAATACTAAAAAGGAATGGGAAAAACAAATTTGAGAGACAGACACGAAAGGATATATTTAAATATAAAAATTTAAATCATCATTAAAAATCATCGTTGGGAAGAAATTGAATAGGCATTGTACTCCAGAGTGTCGAGTATATATTTCTGTTATCATCAAAAGCGGGTGGCTGTGGTTTAAATTTGATTGGTGCAAATCGACTTATAATGTTTGATCCGGATTGGAATCCAGCAAATGATGATCAGGCGATGGCTCGAATATGGAGGGATGGGCAGAAAAAGAACTGTTTCATTTATCGGCTCTTAGCGGTAAAGCTTTACAAAATTTAATGTTTGTTCCATATATTTCCGTATTTGTGAATTATTATGCTTTTCCATAACACCTAAATTTATCGGAAGAGACACAATATAATTTCTAGATTGTTGGAAAAGCCAAGAAAACTTTCAAGCAGAAAAATATTAAAGTTGAGAATAATAGCCCACTAATACAGTTAATCTTATCCGTTTGCTAAATATGTTCTAATTTTTCTATATTTCTAACAACAACTGGGCAGCTGACAAAGATACATAGCAAATCTGTTATAATTGTGGATGGAATTTCTGTTAAGACAGAAAAGACTTATATAATCAGGTGGTGTGTGCATTAGCAACCATAGCAATAATTGTGAACTTACAAAGATATTATAAAGTTTATAAAGCTTTAGTTAAAGTATAATAAAGTTCTCTTTTTGTAAGGAATAGAAGTGAAAATAAAATATGAATGAATGAATGAGATTTAAAATGGAGGATTAATTTGTGCGCAGTGATGAATGTGATAAATCTTGAACAAATCAGTGATATTATCACCATCAGTCGTCGAAACTCAAAATGTCTATAAGGGAAGAGTATTAGGGAATGAGCAGTTGAGAATTAGGTTCCTCTTTACTCGAGATAAAGATAAAGTTGATAAAATGAATGCTGTTATAGTGATTATCTGTTATAATAATTGTTGAATATAAAGATTGCCGTTACTGACTTAGGTGAAATGTTCTATCATGGAATTTGGTAAATCTTAACGCTTGGTGGAGATTTTTATAGCTTCACGAGTATATTAAAATAAGATTATGAATATCTCGAAATTACAATCATTAGTTTGGGTCCTTGTGAGAATTAAAATTAAAACTTTTTATATTGAAAAAAGAAATTTCGATGGAAAAGTGAAAGAAACTAAGCCATGGACGTTTGTTTAATTTAATTTGTTTTATCTTATTCTTTACTTAAAGCTTCTAGTGATAAGTTTGAAATTTCTTTACCCTAGCACATTTAGACTAAATAGCAGTTTTATCTTGAAATAGTGCAGCGGCAACAGCTAGGGATAAGCAATAGTGATAATAGTGATAGTGCAATAAACTTCAACTATATTTACTAATTATGAAACACTGCTTATAGTCTATAAAACTTCTTTCAGAAATTACATAAGAAATACTGATAACGTAGAAAATAACTAAATATAAATGTAGTGGGAAAAAAATTGAGATAATTTGAAATAATGAAATAAAGAGAGTGGAAGGGGCGGATGACAAAATCATTGAGTGCGCTATTTCATATTTCATGTTTGCAATTTCATGCTCTTTTATTTTATATTGCGAGTTTGTTGAAGAACTTTTCAAATCTTAGTTGATAACTTTGATTATAATGGAGCGAAATAATATGTCAGTGATTTTATCTGCAGACTGGCAGCATCGAGGAAAAAATGTTTCAACGACAAGCGCATAAGAAAGCACTGTCATCTTGTGTTGTTGATGAAGCTTCTGATGTGGCACGGCATTTCAGTAAAGATCAATTGCGCCATTTATTTGATTTGAAAGCAGACATCGCATCAGATACGCATCAATCGTGAGTTTTCATTTTTGGTAGTTGCTGAAGCTTTACAAATCCATAATATAATGAGACCAATATCCTTTTAGAAGAGAGGTTTGTGTCTATTTGTTTCAGAAAATATTCGGTGTGATTGTTGTTGGAAATATTGATACTAATATCTGGTTGAGTTTTCCTATCGAATTAAAAATTTGTTCCTAGGTTAAAATGTGAACGGTGTATAAATGGTATCGAATATAGAGAACCACAGGAGCGCGCTGATACGAACTCTGATCTCAGTGAGTGGTATCATGTTCAAAAGGATATACGTAAAGTGCCGGACAAGGTAAGCTTTTTGAGATATCTTGCTGACTCCCTGTCTATTTTTACCGTTAAGGTACCATCTATAAAGTATCATTATACTATGACTAGTCAGACAGTCGCATTAAAAGGTAAGAATTAGTCGGACTTAATTCTTTTCAATTATTTTTTCTCATTTTCTCATTGACATCAATGACTGTAAGCATGAAAACTTTTAGGTGCTGAAAAGAGTCTTTGATTGTGGAGCTATTACATTTGTCTTCCATCAGAAATCTCACAATGTAAGAAGCGAAACAGTAAAGGAAGAGAGCGAAATTAAAGAGGATTTGTTGGATGAGGAGGGAGAAAGCTGAAATTTTCCTTTATTTCAATTTTTTTCTTGAATTTTTCACAAAAAACATTTGAAGCATTCATTTAGATCGCTAAATGCCTCAAATGTTTTTTGCTAATTTTTCGTGTTCTTTATATAAATTTGCGTAAAATGGATACATTCACTGCACTGCACACATCGAGGTTAGATCGCTAAATGAATACCTCAAATGTTCGAAGAGGTCATGAACCGATTCCTCCTTTGGAACTCTTCCATCATTTGTACTATGATACTAAACTATTACAGGCCTTATTATAGCTTATTGGGAAAGCCAGCCTTTCCACTCCAAATCTTTCACATGTATAATTGTGTTATAAAATGTGTATGTATGTGTGTGTGTGTATTTGAATGGAGACTAAAAATATCAGATGTTTACTAAACGGTCAAATATAGGCAAGAAAAACTATGAGCTTGTGAAAAAGAAAGGCGTAAATCCAGCAGTGATGGAACATTGTTTGGATTACTCATTGAAAACGGAAAAATCAAGGAGGAAAATAGAACCGAATCAAATGTAATTCAAAAGGATGAATATAAATAGATAGCTAGCGTACAAATAGTATGGCCTTGCCATTACCGTAGATATCATCATGAGAGAATAAGTGGAATGGAAAATGCCGACATTCTTAGAATGTTCTACTGATATTACTGATCGATTTTAAAACTGATATGATGGTAATGATGACATTGACAAACAAATGAAATGAAGAGACGATTTGATTTGCATAACGCGGAAGACATTTACCACTAAAGTAGATTATTTTCAGTACACTGATGAACGAAGTTGCAAAAAGGTATCTGTTGATATGAGAGATGGATTAGCTGGACTGGAATTGTTCGGGTTTCTTTCTACGAAGTAATGAATGAAGTAGATTGAGATAGTACAGAATAAAGGGAAAATGAAGTTAAGCCACCAATACTGGTAGTTTGCATCGGAGAGGATTGGGTAAACAAACAGAAAGAACTGGTTTTAGTAATATTTCTTCCATCTTTTCGAATATCACACTCAGAAGCTATAAAAAAACATTTAGCTACTGGTTTGTGGATGAAAATACAGTAAACAATACTGCTTGATAGCACTCGATAACCAGTAAGTTCGTACTGGTATTCCGAATTGGGCGTAAATTCATCGAATAGATGGATAAATGTTAGTTAATCCTATTGTTATTCACGATGATAAAGACTTCGAACCATTTGAAGAAAAATTGACAAAGAGTAATAACTCACAAAGGTTATACAATTAGTTGTCGATTGAGACCATAGTTCAAAGTAATGGTCATATCAAAAGACCTGCACAACCAATGTGAAAGAACTTAACAAAAATCTCTTGCCTTCGGTTCACGAGAACTCAACTCTGCGAGGAGTTTTAACATGGATAATAGTTCTGGAAGAATTTTGATATCAACACTCAGATGTCATTTAGGAGGAAGGATTTTCTTTCACTTAAAAACTTTCTTAAAGCATGCTTTCTTATGTTTGAAATTTACGTGGCCATATCAGTATGAATTCTTGACCTGTTTTAATTTGTTTATTGATTTGAACAGTGAACTAAGATATGGAAACAATGGCAAGATTAACAGGATCAGGAATGGAACAGGGTTCAATCATTTCAATGCTAAATTTCAGCATAAATAAAAGAGTAGATTGTATTTGCAAATCAATTTTGTTCAAAAGTTCTTGGCTACCTAGCATATTTTATGGACAATAATAAGTCATATAGAATACAAATAATGGGACATTTATTGTGACCCTCATTGAGTGACATTCACTTTTCAATTTTGAGGTAGCTGAAGTGAAAGTTAAAAATATTTCAGGGCTGAGTGGGACAATAAGACGCAGTTCATTTTTTCAAATGCAATCATTCCATGGTGAAAGTAACAAAGCAAAATCGATATATATTCAGAAGGCGCTGATAATTTTCGGAATAATAGTGCACGAATAGCATTTTATATTTTGAATTGACCCTTATGGAGATAAAAGATGCGAAAAGTTCAATCATTTCGAGAATCTCAGCAAAAATAATTGCGTTAGAAGATATTATGGAGTATCAAAAGACAATCCCTTTGCAAGTATTGAGATTTAACTGATATGATGCCAGCGGATGGCTTGAAAAGGGTTCCTTAGAAAGCCATATGATGTCTAATCATCCCCAACACTTTGTAATTATAAACTTGGAAGAGTCTAACTAATAACAACAAAGTATATTATGAGAGGGTGAGAAAAAAATGGATAATTACATTCTTTGTTTTTTCTGGACATATTGGCTACGAGATAACACATGAATTCTCTATATAACATACAGTAATGTAGGCATGACCAGCTAGAAAGATCCATGATAAGACTAATCTCAATTGGTATATGTGATGATACTGTTTACATTTTCTCTCTGTATGAAATACAAAGAGTGAATAGGAGAACGAGAATTGTAGCAAAACACCATAGCATAAATTGTAAGTCTCGAAATCATATATGTAAACATCTTCAAACGCCCAATGACCACATTCAGGATTTCAGGAAGACCATAGTTTTCGTTATGATCTAGTCATAATCGAATAGACCAATAGCATGGTGTTCTATTGAGGCTGCTGCAATTGGCGTTTATGTGTGCCTGTGTCCGTCTGCGCTACTTTGCGTCTGCGCGAAGTTATGTGTGTATGTGCGTGTCTGCGTTCCGCTTACAAACTGATTTGCGTACATGGGTGATTTGGTTAACGAGTATTTCTCGACGTGGCAGTTATTTTGCTTGGTCGCGATTTTTTCTACGGGTTTGAGGTAGTTAGTGAAGAATAGTGATGTTACGTGTAAAGTAGATCATTACATTGTGATATCTTTGGCAGTTATAGTGTTATAAATGTGTGATGAAAGCGAACCTTCTATTGGGGGTCGTCCCATCTCGGAGATGAAAGTAGTGGAGCTAAAAGAGGAACTGGGGAAGCGGGGATTATCCAAAATCGGGAACAAGAACGCTCTTCATGAACGACTCAAAGAGGTTAGCATTTTTTTTCTAAAATTACTTACTCTTTTCCATTAATATTTGACGAGTGCATGGACTGTTATCATTGTCTGATATTTTCTTCCGTAATCTTTCTTGCTTTATCGACGGACATCAAACATCTGTGGTTTTGGTAATGACCTAGTTTCCGTGGTTTTGGAGTGACTGAATATCTTTATGTGGTTTTGCTGCCCCGATTCTTTATGTAATTTTAATGATGATCGAATTATCTTTCTGCGATTCTAATGGATCTTAAATCATCTGAATGTGGATGTATTTTAAGGGTAGATTCAGTTGCTGTTAACTGAAGGGAAGCACATTAAATCATTCCTCAATGATATACTGGTAATCCAAAAATATGACCGCCAAAACTTTATTGCTGTAGTCAAATGTCTGTTCTTGTTAATCATACAATTTAAAAGAGCTTTATTTTGTAAGAGAACGTGTTATCATTATAAAATCAGTTATAATAATTAATACGAAAATTGCATAAGCTGTTTGCAGTTTAACTTCTCTCGTTCGGTATATTTTCTCGGTCTCGCTGCTTTCTGCTTATTTTCTTCTACTCGTTGTCTTCTGTAAATCTGCTACTTTTTAACTTATCTTCCTTGTTGCTTTTTGTTTATAGCTTGACAGAAATTTCAGTATTTGTTGACAGAGGTGAATGCGAAGTGTGAGAGCGAAGTGCAGTCAACAGCTGTAGAAAGTCCACAAAGGGATTTGGTAAGTAAATTTAAATTCTGCTGGAATATTTCGAGAAATCTACAGGATTGATCTAAATTATTTGCTTTATTCGTTGCAGACTTCACCACCCAACCCACTAGTAGCGGAATATTTAGCCAAACAACAGACTGCTTTACGTGAAGCACGCAAAGATGCAGGTTTGTTATTTTCCGGTGTGTAATTTGATGTATGATGCTTTCGGAGTAGGTGACATCAGTTGATGAACATAATTTTTCAGAAGCAGTTCGCAGAGCATCTTCTGGAGATGATGCATCGCCGATACGCGAAAAATCGATTTCTGTTATGCGTCGTTCTCGACGTGGACGTAGTACAGCTACTATTGTTGAGAAACCTGCAGAGTCCATAGTAATTAGTGAAACTGAACAGGTCTTGACTTAAAATACAACGTTCATGTTTTAATTTACTGGTGTCTGGCAATCAGCACAGAAGAGAGTAAGAATGAATCAGATGAGCTTTTATATGGTTGCACATTCATTTTAAGTTAAGCATTTTCGCTTCATAATTCTTTTTAAAGGATTTGATGGAGGCGGACAGTTTCCAGGAGAGTGTGGAAGCGCAGTCGAAAATCCATAACATCGAGGAAACTGAAGATGACATTGGTGCTTCATTTGAAGTTTTTAAGAAAGAAACGGACATTAGCGTTGACTCCATGTCGATGGCTGTGAAGACGAAGACATCGGAAGACATCAGTAATCGGCAGTTAGTCGATGTCGAAGGGAGATATTTAGCAAGTGCTAAGGGTGTAAGCGAAGAGCGTGAATTACAAAAGAAAGACGAAGACAAAGGTGAAGAAGAAGATGCTGTGTCGGATGTGGCTAGCAGTGACACGGGGACATCAAGGTACTCTATTATCATTTTTTGATGTATTCAGGCCGAAAAACTTTTAATAACTTAAGTTTTGTAGAAAAGTACGCGAAAATCAGTTGTGTGCTATGGAACGAAATTTATTTTTTTTGGCGAGATTGTATCTTGAGTGTGGAATAAGTCGAACTTTTGCTTCTCATGGCCAGTTTTTCTGGTCATTTGTGAGAAGTGTTGACATTAATTTACGATTTGTTTTTTCTAGCCAAAGTCTAAGTGAGGCAGCAGATGAGTCAAATGCATCTTGGGAACAGATGCCCGTAGATCTGGAGGAATTATCGAACCGAGAAGTGGTAAGTTGACAAATAAGTTACGTCTAAAATGAGAAAACGGAAGTTATTCTCATTAGAGTAGTACAGGCACATTTTCTTTTACACCTTCCGGGTTATGACTACCTTCTTCCCTATTAAATTTACCAAATTGCTTTTCAAATTGCACATAAAATTGCTTTCATTATTCATCAGGATGTATGGTTATATTCAACAGATTTTTTTACTGTTGGTCTCTGCCTAAAGATAGTTTAAAATGTAATGAAATTCGCAAATAAGCTGCTGCTATCTGCAGTGAGAGCATAAATAGCATCCAGTTAGAACTGAGATAACTATTTCCTTTTTTGCTTACTTGATACCTTCATCATTTGTAGTTGTACATTTATAGATGGAAGCAGTTGACGATGCATCAGAGAAGATTGTAGAACGCACAAAGGGGACTTCAACCATGCAAATTAAAAGTACGTTTTTTTTTATACTTTCTAATCTTAAAATTTTAATAGCTTATGAATTAAGTTCCTTCGTTCTTGTAAGTAGTATATAACTGCATTATTGACAAGGTGTATTGAGAAATTTGCGTGTGATCTCTTGAGCTAAACGCTCATGTTTGACAAATTTTGGAGTACCATCGCATTATTACCTATTTATTATTTGCAATTTATATATTATTTTAATATTCTTCATTTCAGGAGAAATAACTCGTACCCAAGAAAAAAAACGTCGTTGGAGACCGTCTGAAGCAGCGCATTCTACAAATAGTGTCATTACTGTTTCAATCGCAAAACATAAGGAAGAAGAAATTGAAATAGATGAGCAGGAGGATATGCCCGAAACCCACGCTTCTGTCGTATCTGATTTCAAAGAAGAATTGTCGGATACAAAAGATAGAATGGAAGAGCTAGATTACGAAGAACCAATGCAAAGTTCAATTGCCGAAGTAGCTGAGGAAGTTAAAGTGACGAATAAATTTTATTTAAGGATTTTATTGCAAAATTTTACACAAGGCTTTTCTCTTAAGCGAGTTAAGAATCATTTACGTCACATTGGTGTCTGATGTGTTGACGGGGGCATATTGCAGGCTGAGGAGATATCTGAACGACGCAAAGAAAGAACATTTGAAAGGGATGAAAGGCACGCGAAACGCTCAGGTTCACATATTTCAGACATAGATCATTATCGCTTAATGAACTGTTATTTATTTAGTTTCAAAACTTATAGATTGATAGAAAAAAAAACCAAATTGGCTTGTATGAACTGGCAGTTACGGTTTTTGTAGTTGAATACAGCAAACTTATTAGGTGATAACCTGAAGCAGCAAGAAATCTAATTCATAAAATCGAGATTTGAAGGTGTTCACGGCCAACAAATCACCATCGATTTAATCAGTAACTAAAATAAATGAGACGGTGTGAAGGTTCTGACTATCAGCTTTTGTTGAGATATATCTGAGTGATTACATTATCAGGTGTTGTATTGAACCTGTTAATTGGTACTTATCTTGTTGTGAGTCAGTTTTTCTGAAAGTCTTGAAATCTTGCCAGATCCTTTAATGCGGTCAATTATGAATTCCTGTTTCACTTCAAATTAGGTCTGATATCTAATTTGCATGTTTTCCATTCATCCTTATCAATTCTTTAGACGTAATTTAGTTTAAACAGATTAACCTTGGTGTCAGTGTTTGCAGTTATTTGATTAATTTTCACAAGTGCGTTATTTTCAAGGTCCATCATGTGTATCTAAGCGTTCACCGACTCCGGATAAACAACTAGAGAGCCATACAACAGTGGATGGTTTCGTGCGTGAACGAAGAGTATCACCAGCACGATATCCAGTTAATCAGGTCAATCCCTTGATGTTTAAATTATTATGTAGCTGAACTGAAATTATGCATTGCATGCATGAATTTGCAGAACTTTTCCTTTTTGAATTATATTGTGTCACCTTTTTTTTAATTGTTGAGCTTTTTTCGTTATAGAAAATTTTTTTCTTTGGGATGATTTTTATAGCATGACTATTAGTTATTATTAGTAAACGGAAGTACGGTTCTTTAATTATTTTTAATTCATATAGTTTTATCACAAAGTGAAAGAAAAACCACAGAATCTAACTTATGCATTGCTTTCAGGTAATAATGATAAGACAACTTACTCGCCCTTATACAGTTAAACAGTTACAACAGCTACTTTCAACTTTCGGTACAATAGTTGAAGGGGGTTTCTGGATCGATAATATCAAATCCACATGCATTGCAAAAGTAATATTTTAATAATTAAATATAATACAAAAGTTTATATTATTTTTTACCTTCGTAGTCATAACTATTATTGTATGATGTAATTGTTTGTTTACAGTACTCAACTGTGGAAGAAGCTATTGTGGCTCGAGGACGTCTTCATAATGTTGTATGGCCGCCTTGCAGTCCAAAAACTTTAAAAATAGACTATTCGGATGATGTGAATGTAAGGATTATTCATTCTTAGTGTTCAGAATTGTAATTTGAATTTACTGCAATTTTGATCAGGAACCTTCATTTCAGCTTGCCAAACATCTTGTTGCTGACCAGTCACCAAGTGATGAAGTAATAAAAGAAAGCATAGAAACAGCGAAATCACCTGGGAGCTCAGCTCCGGCTCTACGTGTATCGTTATCCGTTGATGAAAAACGGAGACATGTACAGCCAACCGGTCAGGATGAGTTAGCGAAGGATTTGGATAAAAGAGAACGAGAAGGACGCGGACATGAACATCGGGGACGAAAGCGCTCGGCATCACCACTAGGGGTATTTTTTAAATTCATGTATTTTGTGGATTTTTTCATGTCAAATTTCTCATTGACATTAGATCATTCCTGTTTAATTGCGGATGTGAAGAGATATCTGAAAGCTGATTCTAAAGAAATACCCGTAAATTATAATTATTTATTATAATTTTTGAACAATTTTTTCCACTTCTTTATAAAATTCTAATTCATAGCATTCGGAGGCAAAACGGATGCGCGAACGAAGATCTCCATGGAGGGATGAACGTCGTCGCACTACTGCTTCACCTGAATTAAAACCGAACGGTTGGTTTTTACAATTTTTGCTCTTTCGACATTAATGAAAGTGAACTGCTTTAGCAAGTCTTATTTAAACGATTCCGTCGTTTACAGAACCGGAGAAGCGTGTTAAAACGGCGGATGAATTATTTTTGAAGACAAAAACTCAACCAGCTGTCTATTACCTACCACTCACTGAAGAACAGGTTCATTTTAATATGGCTTAAAACAAAAAAGTAATTTTTACATATATATCTTTCTCCAGAGGGTGTGTCTACATACGGAATTGGTCCTGTTACATCACTTCTTACACATTTGTGTCTGCTTGATATTTGCTTAATCATGATGATGAATACTATGTGAGATTCATGCAGTTGTTTATCGCTAATTTAGATTATTGAACGCACCAAACGAAAAGCTGTAGAAGCGGAGCTGGCAAAGAAAGTCGCACAAAATGGGACCATGAAGCGAAAGGAGAAAGATGAGCCAGTAAAAGAAAAAGCTAACACGAGCAAACGTGTTGGCGCCAGATCTCCTCCTTCACGTCGACGGTCACGCACCCCACTATCCCGTCGACGATCACACACTCCCGGCGGGCAACGTGATCGGCGGCATTCCAGATCCCGATCACCACGCCGCCGTCGTTAGGTCGTCACGCCCCGTGAGGCGGCAATGATGCAGCCAGTATTTTAAACTTTAAAATCTTTTTTTTGCCCTTCGATTCACTTTATGAGACTTTTAACTCCGCATTTTGAAGCTTTTTTTGGTTTTTACTAATTTAAATCACCCTTTATTTTCATGTTCTGAAAATCTGGTCCCTAGCTGCTGAAATTTAAAGTAGTTTTGCTGCTCGTATCGTCTATCTTCTCTTCCTCTTACTACGATGTTTTCCTTTTCCCACCCTTAACGCCCCCGATATCTTACGTATCTTTTACTTATATAGCTCCTTATTTAAGGTACAGAATTCCCTCTACCTTTTATTTTTGCTGAAATTGCTCGTCAGGCCTTCAGAATTCGCTGCAGTTAATGTTTGCGGAGCAAGCACAGGATTGATTAGCAGAAGTGGAGGTGATGTCGTGAGCAAACTGTGAGACGCGGTCTCATCTCAGCTTCCTCCGAAGTCATCATCGAATACGCAGGAAAAAACGATTTCATCCTGGTTCAACAGTGAAAAATACATGGTCGCAAGGTCCCAATATCCTCAGTACAGCGGTGCCAAAATGCAAAGATATTATTAAAGCATTGATTTGCGTTAAGCCTTAATATAATTGCTAGTTGTGGTTCACTGAGCATACATATTACATATGGGTTCGCTCATTTTGCTCTACGCTTGTTCATCGTACGGCTCCACATATCGTTGTTAAGCTTATGGCTCTCTCAGTTTGTTTCTAATAAAGTATTTTTGTGCTACTACACCGTGATTTTCTTGAAAAATCTGTTAAAAACTCTACATTTCACAAATTCGTGTTTCGTTTCTTAGCGTTAATTCTTCATGATAATTTACAAGTAATGAAATCGATTATCTTAACCGAGTTAAGGTATCATTAAGATCCGATGTATGTATGAGGTTCTACATTAAAGAAGTACTTTAAACGGTAGTATCAAGGTAAGTGACTGGAGATTAAATTTCCTTTTTCGTCTCAGTGTATATTATATATATATATATATATATTATATGGTAAGCTAAGGTTGACAGTTGCATATTGGTCTGACAGATTCAGCATTAGTTTTAGATATTGAGAATGATGATCGTCAGCCGACGAGTTGCGAGGGATTGATTTGATATTTGAGCTCCTCTTAAAGATCGATAAAAAGATAGTAATAATTCGTCAAAATATTTCTTTCATTGATGATGAACTCGAGTCTGGTGTGGTCCGTTTTACATTGTTAAATCTTTATATACTCATAATAAGCTTAGCGTCAATTGTCAACCTTAATTTATCGATTGGTTACTATGTTATTGCGCTGGGAATGGGACGCAGTTTTCTCCTACTCTGTTTTTCTCATCGAATTTATATTGCTAAAAATGACCAACATGAGGACAATTTCATACGACGAGTACCATAGAACATTTGGGAATGGTACTTCTGTGAGTATGTGCGATCTTCCTTCGTTTCTATTAATTTTCTATTTCATAATATTCGTTTAATCAGCACTTAATTACCATGGTTATTTAATTATGGTCCTTAATTACTTGTTTGACTAAAAAATCGCAAGTTAAAAGAAAAAAAATGAAACATTTTATTAGGTTTTATTAAATTAAAGGATTTCCTAGTTTTATATAAGTCTTTTGGCTCTTGAATTCTTCCTAAAAATCTTATTACAGAAATAATATCCAAGTAAAACAAGCTTAATTAAATATATTAACCTATTAAAATTGATACAATCGATCTACTGATAACGTCATAGGGGATTAATTGAAGGAATGGGGAAATAGTAGCAACTGGCTGCTAAATATGAGAAAAAAGAATTTCTCCTACTTGAAGCTTTTTGAAGGCTTTACCTTTCAATGGTATTCAATTCATCCGTTAAAAAAATAGCAAAATTTTATTAATAAAAAATGAAAAAATTTTATCATTAATAAAAAGTTTAAATTTTAAGTTTTCGTTTTTTTTGGAAGAGAATAGCTTCTTTACTCATTGAGAAAAGCTAAACTTGCTTTTAAATTATCAATGCAAACATGACTTTTCAAGTTCTTATTTTGTTCAACATAAACTTCGATTCAATACAACCACCGGTTTCCTTAGATCCGAGTCACTGAAATCCAAACAAATGTAAACAATTGTTTTTTATGAGTCTTTTAGATGAAATCCGAAACGACTATCAAACTACTTCTGAAATATGATAAAATTTCCAAATTCAACACAACGAAGGAACATATCACAATGTTCATTAATGAATCTCTCCAATTATCGTTATCGTTATCTTTATTTAGTTTTCTTTTATTAGTAAATCTCTCTAATTTTCATTATCAGTTATTTGACCTCGTTTTCTTATATCATTTCACTTCATCGATACATTAACTTCGCGCCGCTTCAATGATATCACATTAATGTATCAACAGATGCGTGTAGTTACGAAATCTCGAATCTTCATTAAACCGGGAGCCTTCATTGCATACTATAAAAAAGCAGTAGATCGGTGATATAAGCATAGTGTACCTTATTTTTTTCGGTGCGCTATTCCATTCAGCACGCATCAATATTATCTGTTAAAGATATAATTTCAAGAATAGCACTAACAGTAGCATGTTTCAGATTTAGAATCCTTTTTTAAAATATTCATATGATGACAAGGTAATAGCATAGTCATGTATTACATAGTATTTCTGATGCATAATATATCATTAACGTTATGATGTTCATTATTAGTACAACAAAAAAAGATAGAAATTTTAAATTATGAATAATTTCAACATAAAGCGTAAATATAACAATTTTTTCAGTTAATGATTTATTTTTATTTCTATAAACTATTTCTTCGCAATTACTCCGATGTTCGAGGAAGAACACTCTTCACATGGTATATTTAAAGTAGTTTGAAATTTTCTTTATTTTAATTACAACGATCGCAATAAAATTAGTAACAGTTAAATGATATATAACTATAAAATGGTAAGAAAAGATAGAAAAAAAACAAAACCGAAGTGTAAAAACTTTGCCTATTCCAAATTTTTTGTATATATATTATACCTTTATTTTCACTTTTCACCTTTGACCTTCCAACCATTTCAAATTTAGACATTATATTTGCAACATCATTTAGCTTTTTTTCGTACTACAATGATGCTTGAGGCTATATTGTTGCAATTTGATGATATGGATAACTTTTTTTTTGTTCAACGTTAAGCAATAATTTTGCTGCAAAGGATTTATTAACTTACCACTACTCACTATAACTTACTCGTATACGTGTACTATTAAGAGTGTAGTAATTTAACTCAGAGCAATAAGTTAAACATATTAGGCCATATGAAAGTAAGACGAATCATAAGGGAAAGGATCAGGAAAGAAGATCAAATAAACAAACCTTTTTATGCTCCGATTTAAGAGTATCGTCTTTTTGTGTTCCAGTTTAAGAGTATCAGTAATAACTGTAATAGAAACAGTCATACCATTATTATCCGTTTTTTCTATAACGAATAATAATAGCATGATTGAATTAATGGATTGATTGGTTAGCCATTGAAAATATTTATAATTTTTCGAAATCTTTTATATACGTAACGATGAAGATAGTAAAAGATTTTAGGCTTTTTTAAAAAAAAACATTTAACAACACATATTTTCAAATATTTTTGAAACATATTGAATATTTAAAATAACAGTTTGAGAATAAATGAAATATCTTTTCATTCTATCTTTCAAATTTCAGAAAGTTGAAAAGTCTTTTTGTAAACCAATAAAAATTTAACAGATTATGAAAAGAATAACAAAATTGATTAATTGGTAGATCTCTTCAATATGATATGATATAATATAATATGGTGTGAAGGTTTGACTAAAGAAAGGATCAGAAAAAAATTAAAAGATCTATTTATGCTACATAATTAGTAATTTCTAATATAATAATTCAGTTTGTTAATTATCATCAAATTGTAACAGTATGGCCTCAAACATCTCTTTCAATAATTTTATACAGTATTTTGATTAATTGAGAGAATATTTATATCAGTAACGAAAATCGTAAATACTATTAGAAAACATATGTATCATTAAAATATATTTTCATAAATTCAATCGTCATTTTCAATAGCAAGAATACGAAAAGAGAGTATTTAGTTTGACTTATTATTTTTTGTTTTCTTATTTAAGATAGTATATTTCATCGTTTTACATTGCAGTAAAAAAAATCTTTAAACTTTTTCTGAAAATCTTCTTTTTGTACATACGTGGGTTATTAAGCAAAATTTTCCAGTCATTTCTATTTAAATATGATTTTATTTTCGGAAAGGAATCGGATGAATCTTCTTCTTTTTTTTGTTTATCACAAAATGCACATATCAGGTGCATCTTTTCTTGATGCATTTGTATATCAATGCACATGTATCTTTGTGTGTCTATGAACATATTAAATTTAATATTTCATTGCAATTAATACATCTGTATACTTCAGTATTTCTTTTACTGAATTTCGTCTGTCACACACTTTTATCATAGTTGTTTGCAATTGTTGTTGTAAGATTAGATTGTTGTTCATTGAATTCAATTTTAAAATAAATTTAATTTAAGAAAAAAGAAAATTAAAGGGAATAAAAAGGAATACATTTTATGCGATACAAGGAGATGAATAGATTTAAATTTTTGCACTTTTATTGAATCACTTCATGAATCACTTCATAAACAAATTTAATCGTTTTATAAAACATTATGGGATACTATTACAATTTGGGAAGTTCTGAATGATAAAGAATAACTTCAAGATGACTATATTATCCGAAAAGTGAAATTGTTTGCCATGCATACTTGATTGCAGTGGCAAATTGAGCAGGCAATAAATTTATTAGAATTAAAACATAAGTCACTTGTAAATACATCGTCCTAGAGGTGACCGCAGGTTTAGTCATTTTATCGATCCTGAAATGTATTTCGGATCCAACCTATCTCATTGATTTATAAGTGATCTTAGGTTCAATTTACTTTGGATATATACTTTTTCAGCTTCAATCATTTCGATAATTAATCACTTTATTCTAGAACTTAATTTACAGCAACGAAAATACAAAATTACGTTCCCGATCTTCGTCCCATTTTTGTTGCATTTCAAATTTACCACGCAATTCCTTCCATCTTTGACGTCTTCTGGAATAGAATTATTTCATTATACTTCTAGCAAAAAGCAATCAGACATTCTTTGACTAAAGCAAACCAAATGCTTCATGAACTCTCAGGAATGAAAGTAATCACATATTCCTCTGAAATTCACTATTTAACATACAATAACTGTTTGTGAGCTTCAAATTCCGGATCGGTTTCGGAATTGGATTCGCTAACATCGGATGTATATCGATCAGCTCGGAAAGCAAATGGTGTCAACGAACGCTGATTTTCGGATGATGGTGGACCACAGTCAGACCACGATGACTCATCACTACTGAAATCAATTAACTGAGAAAAAAAAATTGATACAATCTCTTCCTATTTCAGGATTGAAACTTAATAGGTATCCGGAAATTCCCTCGGCATAAGATTTACCTGCAAGCATCTTGATATTTCTTCGGTAGAGATCCATTTATCTTTTTGCAACTACATTCTGATATTTTCCGAAATTTTGCGAATTTTTTACGGCGTGCTTTTCCACTTTCCTTTTCCAGTTTCCGTTTCAATGATGAACTTACTTTCTTCAGGTGCATAAAATTACAAAACCCACCACGATTACATTCCCTGCAGTGTATATCCATTATTTACCACTGTATTGTCATTAAACTTTCTGAATTTATTTATAAGTGAATAATAATTAAGTCTGACCCATTTTCATACTGTCGACAGCACGCATTACGGAAATCGGAAACTGGTGATAGTTCACAATGAATAGGTTTACCATCGAACCATCGATTGTTTAAGGCTTTCACTGCATTACTTGCATTCGATTCATGCAGAAACTAAATTTAAAAAATTTCGAATTTTTATTACTTTCAATCATTCAAATCACTCTTATCATTTACAGTCAGTCAAGTGTAAATCCTAAATTAAATTAAAAATATCTCTTGAATTTCTATCATACTACAATTACTTACTACTTTACTTGACATACAATGCAATAACACTATGCGTCTTAAATCATTTGAATCTATACTTCATCTCGTATTATTTGACTTACTTTGATGTAAACATTGCCAAGCATATGCTCACCGGCATTATCACATACATTCATTTCTTCAATTTCACCGTATTCTTCATCAATTTCCAAATATACTTCACGGAAAAATTCGTCAAATTCACGTTGTTCCTTTTCTTGTGGAAGATCTGAAAAAGACAATATTTTAAATATCTTTCATTATCAAACTCAATCCTCGTTATCATTTTATTCCTCTCAATCCTTCTTTTCTGGATATCAGTTCATTCCATCTATCCTTAATCACTTCTTATTCAATTCTTATCTTAGTAATATCATTACTATCTAACAAGAAATGTTGATAATGTAAACATACCTTGTCGAATGATACCACCAAAATGACAGAAATTTTTCAATAAAATTGTCTGAAATTATTTAAAATTAATAATTTCAATTTTCTAAGCTATTTAATAAGAGCTTGATATTTTGCTCTTGTTTAATATAAACGAAAAAAAGAACATAAGACGGATAATTTAAATGGTACTTACCTTACTAGAAGTAGGCCGTGTATGAAGCCTAGAACATTTATCACCGTGTCGGCATGCACCGATTTTCAGATAAAATGGACAATTTACCCTGTAAAAATTAAAAAACTTTCCAGCAAATTTCCAATATTCATCTCGAAAAAGAAGTCTTTTAAAATTTTCTAATTTTAAATGTTCTAATTTTAAAGCTTAGTGAATTCTTTTATTACAACGCTAAAAGTATCATTTCACAAATCATAGGGATTCCGAAATAATTTTTCTTCGCTAAAACATTTCGTTTGTTTACCAAAGGCAGCATTTAGAATAATTTTGAGAGACAATAGATATAGGAATTCGAATTCGAATTTCGAGCTTTCATATTTAGAATGTCATAGATTAAATTGCTAATCGAATACTTAATTGGAGAACAATATCAAATGAGAATGAAAAATAAACAAATTGTTGGCTACAGCTTATATTATTGGATATTATCTTTCTTCTTTCATATTCTGACTAAATCGAAAATGAATTATACGAAATAAAATATGATCCCTTTTAAATATGGAAGTTATGAGATAATATTGAAAAAAATTCGTTTAGCTGATAATATTGAAATGAAAAATGGTTTGCATATTTTTGTGGAATAAAAACAATCCATCAAAAGAGAAGCAATTTGCTTGCTAATGTAAGTTTAATAGAGTTGAAATAGAAAACGAATTTCAAAAAATGAGGAAAATTTACGAAGGCAAAATTTCTACCTAAAAATAATTTATTAGAAATGATCGATTTAGCTAAAACAACAATTTACAACAAATGAAAATTGTATTAGAGTTTTCCATTCTTTATACTGTAATTTCCCTTATTAAATATTTCGACACTGTAAAGGTTTTTACTAATATAATGAAAGAAATAATTTTAGTCTTTAAGTTTGGAATAGTTGAGAATATAGGAAAGAATGATTGAGTTAAACAATACAAGTAATTATTTCATTGAATTATTTTTATTTTTAAGGTTGAGTAGAATAAGTGACAGATAAAATGATTAATAGACAGGAAAGATGATAAGGAATATTTTCAACGTGAAAAGAAAAAAATTTAAGAGTAAATTGGAACAGACCTATGCTTCTGTTGAATAATTGATTTTGTTTCCACCAATTCATCATTGCAACATTCGCCGAGCATGCGATTTTATACCAAACAATCATTAAATCAATCTTATCGCTTTATCATTTTCAAAGATAATGAAAATGATACTGAATGATAAAATAATAGCATAGCAAAAGGTACTTTTCATTTACTTCAAGCATTATACATTATTTTTTAATTGGTAAACAGAAAAGATCAATTTTTTAAATATTATTTCAACTGAAGTATTGGCATTATTGATTTGATTTGATATTAATAAGAATTAAAAGATTCAACTGACCATTTTTAGTAAAAATTTTAATCCTTTTTAAAAAAGAGAGAGAGAGAAAGAGAGTCAATAAAAATTTTTATGATTTCAATCGTCTAATTTATCGTTTAATGATTATATAGGAAAAAAGTTGGCAGTAAAATGATAATTATTATTGCTAATCGATTGGATATATTTATTATTAATAGAATTGTAATAAGTTTAAATGAAGACGATAATTTGTTATTTATATTTTATGAATGATAAATGATAAAAAATTATCAGCGAGACAGAATGAAATTTTTCGAATGATTCATTCAATTAAAAATACATTTTTGGAGTGAAATTGAAAATATTTTTTGAAAAGGTTTTCTTCTCTTTTTTCCTTAAAAAAGAATTCTTTGAGTGTTAAAAAAGAATTTCGTATGAATTTGGAGAATGAATTTTCTTTTTGAATTTAATTTCGATATTATAATTTTCTAAGCCATTCTGCTAAATTATCAATGGAAACAACAAGGACGGTTTTATAAAGTATCCAAAGATCGGGAAAAGTTCTAAAAAAAAGTAACGAAATTGAAATCTTACAATGTTCTATCATTTTTATGCGCTGTGCTCGTTAATTTAAGTTAGAAAGAAAAACTGAAATGGATATAATTTGCGCCAAAATAAAATGGCGCTTTCGTCTGGATATGTTAACCAACCGAGAATTTATAATGTTTCACGAGAATTTACTAGGTTTAAGGGGAAAAAAATCAAGAAAATGCACATAAATAAAAGCTATACGTATAAAAGGGCATTTATTTGAGCAGTATGGATACAACACAGAAATGCCAGCTTCACTCTAGGCCAAATCAATAACTACCAGCCTTGAATGAGGGCAGAGTTTAGGCCAAACTATTCATACTCCATTTCTCAATCGATTTTTCAATCTCTGAGTTCTCTAAATGTTAATGAAATAGCTTACCAAATAGCTTTCCCCTTATGCTAAGCATGAAAAATTGGAGATGAACAATTCATTCCCATAACTAATATGCCAACAACCCGCAAATAAGTTATGTCGTGAAGAATTTTTTTGAAATCACATTAGTTTAACAGAACTTCGAATAAAATGACAGTGTAAGAGTTCTTTTCTATTTTTTATATATCTTTTGCATAGAATAACTTATGCAAAAAAATTCTGATTCCCGTGGCACGGCTATATATAATTGTTGCAGATTTATTCCTGTGCCATAACTACATATAATCGTTACAGATTTATCAATAACTTCCCAAGTATTACGATTTATAAAGAACAAATAAAAAATGTGACAAAATGGATAATATGTAAAAATAACCAAGTGCATAATCAGAATAGTGACATTAAAATCTACAAGATGAAAAATGAACAAAATTACAAAGTTTAACCTGCAAAATTTAGTTATGAACTTGAAAAAGTTCCATTTCAGCTTTCAGCAATTTTTTTTCCTAGAAGCTATGCAGATTTTTTGGTAATAGTGATCAAAAATTATAAATTACAATGAATAAACAAGGAAAAAGATCACACGGATTCAGCATCACCTTTGCTCGACACTTTGCTGAGATCAAGATTTGGATAAAGTACAGCAGGTTTGCTGCCAGCCTTTGCACGACCAATGAAATCTTTCCATTTCGTCAAATGTTCCTTTTGATATCGTTCAAGGTAGTAATTATAAAGGTTCAGCTTTTCTAAAATGATAAGAAACTCAGAACTTTTAACCACATTTATAGAACGAATGACATTTGATGAAAATGAACCATAATCACCGTTAACACTTTTTCCCCACTCAGTACGTTTCTATAAAGTGAGATCAGAAGTACCATTTGGTGCCCATGTGTATATGGCCTTTCGCGGTTTTTTTATTACCGGAGACATACTACGACTTTTTGGTTGCGTCGTATCCACTGGTGATTGACTTCTTATTGCTGAAACCGATGAAGAACTGGACTGCAACCTATAAAAGAGAAGAATTATAGAGACCGTAGTACATATAAATTTCGATTAGCCTATACGACTACTCTTCTTCTAATAAACTCCACTCCTGATTGTCCAGTACATCATAAATTGATTTGAAATGCATTGTCATTGCATTTCATATCAAGAGAATTTATAAAAAAAGATTACTGTGTAGTGCAGACTGAAACATCTTGCACTGAAAGATGAGTTGCACGATCAAGACCCGAAATCTGTAACAGTGAGAAGAGATAATACGAAACTAATTATGAAATGAAAGGCAAAGCCATATTTGTAATCTCCATTCTTCAGATGATATTATAATCAAAAGATTATATAGAGTGTGGACAAAAAATTTATTTAAATTCGTTAAAAAGGACTAATAACTCAGTAGTAATAAATAGAAAATGTAATGCGAAATGTACTTGCAGAAACATATTGAACACTTCAAGGTGTCTGGCCGAATGATTCACATAGTTATGCAAATGACTCAGTACCTCTTCACATGTATAACGAAATTGTTCATCCCTGTGAGGATTTTTTAAATTAGGAAGAAGTAACAAATTGTTGAGAACGACTTAAAAAGGTAATATAGAAAATGATCATTCTGCTACTGTAATCCACATTTTCCAGCGAAGAGCCAAACGCATTTTATCAATACTAATTCTCTTTTCTCTACCGGAATTCTGGTTTGCAGCCTAAAATTCATCTCACCTGCTGAGTGGATTTTTGAATTTTATGCAATCTACACTTTTCGAGGTAAGTGGCTCCTTTGAATCCTTGTAATTCATTAGCGCATAAATGCATTCTCGACATTTATTAACATCATTTGTTGAAAGCTCACTGCGTCGAATTAATGTCAGCAGTGGATCAAATTTCTGGAAAATCGAAAATATCAATATGGATAAAGAAGCAGTTAATTTTTATTCGATGACATTCAAAGATTAGTAAGACTGCTTAATTTTTTGAAAATAAACCAGATACAATGCCTGTCAATACTTTTGGTATATTATATATGAAAGCTTCATTTAGCTTGCAGGGCCAGTAACGAGTTAGTCTCAATAACTGCTTCCGTGCTTGTTCATTATATGTCGATTCGTCATCAGCCGATGAAGATGGAGTAACTGCAAAAGATAAAGTGAGTTTTTTGATTTTAACTTTACGGTTCAGCATGCAGTACCTCATGAAATTACTGGTTAAAGCGAATATTATTTCTAAATCCAAAATTTTGAGGATAAAATTCAGTGCAAAAAACTGAATGAAAACAAGAAGACATTAGTTACCTGCTGCCTGTGAAACAACAAGACGTGTTTCTTTCATAAAAGTAGCAAAATCAGCAACACGAAGCGGTGCGCTCGGTTTAGGTAGTATTGCGCTTGCCAAGAGCTTCTTATCATCAAATATTGCTGCAAACAATACAGTTGAGATATAGAAATCTTTTACAACAAAGGTTACGAGAAGTATAGCTTACGATGATTTCCGATGTGCACTGTATGCATATAAATCCTTCCTGCGTGACACATCAATAAATGCGAAATGAGCTTCTGATTAACATTCGGCGTCACGTCTCGTGGCAAATGTACATTTTGTTTTAACACCTAAATCAGTTCAAAAGCCATTTGATCAAAAAAGACTGCTAACTACATCGTATGGTTAAATCATATTTTGCTTTTTTCTGAATAAAGAAAAAAAACTTTCGTTGCTCAATAAAAAAGTTTTCCTTTATGCCTTGAAATAAAATAAAAATAAGAATTTTAAGAATAAAATGTTACTTCGAGCATAACATTCCTGCCATTAAGGAGAAATGAAGTAAGGCAGACAGATGGCCGACCATTGACGCTTGCCGGTGATATCGGAAGTGCAGAGATGCACCGAGGGAACTGGAAAGAAAGCATGCACTTTTATTCTTATTTCATCGATCTCCATGTTTCATTAGCTACGACAGTAAAAATACAACAAAGACCTGATTCCAACGATTTTTGGCAGATGGAGTTGTCCAAGCTAGTCTGACGGTTTCATAGTCGCCAGGATTAACCGTGATTAGTAATTTTGAACCTGGCCCGATCAAGCCATATTGCTGCAAAAAATAATGACTTCGACGTGGATGGAATACCTCCACATCATAGTTCACGGACTGTCCTTGTTGTGCTTCCTCCTGAAAATCGTAGTAATACCAAATTTAAATTAAAACTTCGAAATTTGTGATTTTATAACAATTTATTTATCAAAGCTAACCTTCATTGGTATACTAGTAACCGTAGTGGATGCTAAATCAAAGTGTTTTAGAATAACACCATGCAAAACGGGACGTAGTGATGGACCAGCTTCAGCGCAGACAACACTACATGAAACATATTCGTTTATCTGCAAGCTCTAAACTGATAAAATATTTTTCGAATAAACATATAAACTAATTATTTGAACAAAACGCAGAAAATGAAAATGCATATATTATTAGATTAGATTACATATATTAGAATGAACGGTTTGATTTTAAGACAAAAAAACTAAAGCTTGTTCCAAAATAATTGAAAAAATGAATTAAAGCAACCTTAGTGAGTGGTTTAGCGGTTGGAAGATAGATTTTATCTTTATTACCATCTGTCACAGGATAAATAATGATGAAATAAACTTGCACGTGAGTGATTGGAGCAAAACTAAAATATCAAAGTACTTATACAAAACATGAGTCAGAAATTTTCTATCTTTCTCTTCCGTCTTCTCCGCCATTTACATATATTAGAAAAACTCAATTGCTCAAGGGAGAATTATAATAAAAGAATCGGCACGGAAGAATTATAATAAAAGGTTCAGCACTAACTTTTTGTCACCATCCAGAGCTTTTACAATTTTATTGCGACTAATGATATCTTCTGTGATATGTTTCGTTAACATAGCAATATCTTCATCACTGAAATATCCTCATCATTGACAATCAGTTATGCCTTGACCAAAGTATTGCTATCTCTAAATCAAGTAAACAGGCTACGTGGTACTGATTTCTTTACAAATACCATTTTTTTTTTAGTCAAATACCAAAAAATTTTCAACTGCAAATATGCCTCTTAAGAGAAGTAAAAACAACAATCGAGCCCATATTTGGAAATGTTTTCTTGATACCACTTTTGACTGTTAATGCATGCATTTCCTGTCGCGCAAGCTTTATTTTCAGTGACAAACTTTCCATACGACTCTGAAATGAAAACAAACATATTAGTTGCCATATATTTTCTTGAATCTGAAGTATCAGCAACTACAAATAATATATATCATTGCAATAGTTGAACTTTGTCAAGAAATCTACACTTTTTAAAAGAATGAACAACCAATGACTACCGCAAATTTCATATTCCTCAAGTCCATTTTCTTCTTGTCATCAATAAAATCAGTCAAATTTTCATTGATTCCCAGCTGCCTCTTATTACTACGCCGTCTCATACTGCTTTCGCCACGTTTACTATATTTTCCAAAGCACTTGAAACCGGAATTCAAACCAGATTGCTTTTTTTGTAACTCTGTCAACTCACTGATCGCTTCAACAGCGATAGAGATACCGTTAATTATTGAACAGGATGATAAATCTGCTTTAGCGTCCGGGACGCCACAGGATGCAAATGATTTCAATAACTGAAAAAAGAAAAACTAATTTATGGATAGACTAAAAAAATTAATTTCGATAAAAGATCTGAAGATGCTCAAACATTAACAATATGAAATGATACCTGCATTGTGGAAGAGTTTTCACCCTTGATATTAAAAATCTTTTCTACATCTCGAAGTTTAGTACCTCGTATTTCTTGAATATATTTTTTATGATGAAATATGGACCTGATCCAGTGAGATAAGTTGTGTGCCCCAGTTTGGTGTCAGAAATCTTCCAACAAAATCAGAAATCACGAAGCGCATCAGTCGCACACCGTCTGGATAAATTTCATCAACAATTCGATGGAACTCAAAGGCTGACTCAACAGCACAAGTCCAAAGCGTCTTCTCCACCTGATTTACTAAACGCATCTGTCCTGTTGCTGAGTCTTTCAGGGGGACATCAATTTTCTACAAATTAATTTTAATTTAATATAAAAGAATATCAACGACTGTGCTATTCTTATCCATGGCTGCTTTATTCTTATGACTAATATCCATCCTATCTCTCATTAAGATTACCTACCACAGGGACAACTTTTGAAATTAAAAATTTGCATATATCCATACACGTTTAAAAAGGTCTAAGCAAAATTTTCTTTATAAATAAACCAGTCAATGATTAAAAATCGGTAAAAAGAACTGATTACTTATATTTAATTAGTTTAAGAATTAAATTAAAAGAGAGAAAAAGGAGCTAACAAAGTTGGAAGAAGTGGCAAAATCGGGTGAATGATCCAACACGATAACAGTTTTATGATCTGGACCTACTGTCACATCATTAACCGGTATATCATCAGACATATTCCATAATGCTGATAACGGATCTGTGTGAATCCAACGAGAACTAGCGGTTAGTGGAGTGGACACCATTAATAGAGTTATACAATTTCTAAAAAATTACGTTTGCATAATTTTCAACTCATAATTATCAATTATCAGATTTTACCAATTAGGAATAAATGTAATTAAATCGGTTCTTCCAGGGTTCGAATCTGGAAGAACTTGTACATCCGAGATTGACCACCACAGTGCTAACATCACTTCACTTACCATCTATCGCGAATTGATTCCTACCCAATCGCATATTGACAGTTAACCTTTATCGCGGGTTAATCCAGATGAATGAGGAAACAGGTGTGGAGGTTATGGAGGGAGAAGATGGTGGGAATGTAACATTGGAAATATTTGATTTTCTCTTAATGGTGCTGAACTGATTTGGACTGTCTCTTACTTTATCTTCTCGTATTTCGTATGAATCGCATCATTTTTTTTACTATTTTTTTCACTCTTCTAGTGTTTTTTGATTTTGTTTTGGTATTTCTCATGAATCCTTCTCATGCAATATATATCGTTGTCTGTTTGTTGATTCGTTACTTTACAGTAATACATGGAAAATAAATCGATGGATTTGGAAGCTACTCGAAGTCGTCTTTCTACGCTGAAATATTCTCAGTTAAGAAAAGCCGCAAAACGTTATTCAGTCAACGCTAATCAAAAGGTTATCAGACATAACGTTTTGAGATTTACTTATGTATATCTTTTGTTTTTGTTTTTCTTTGCTTGAACATGTTAGATTGATACACGTTTCTGTACAACGTTCTGAATATACGGTGACATGTAACCATTATGTAGTATTTCGATGAACTCGAACTATATGGAAATTAGACTAGCGCAGTCGAATTCATTTATTATCACTGAAATTAGAACAATCATTTTATTTTTGATCACTTAAATTTTAACTGGTTCGAACTGATTAATTTTTCTGACAATTGGTCTCCAATGATGGCCCGAATAATGTTATGTTGTATTTCATATCACATTAAAGCCATTTATTTATCTGCTACGGATAGATTTATTTGAATGCTTATTGGAAAAAATCTCAGGGAATGTCAGTTCTGTTATATAAAATTTTTCAGAAGGAAGTGCTAATAATGGAACTGTCAAAAGTTTGGAAAGGTCATGAATGCAATAAAGAAAATATTATTCCAAAGAAAGTTGCTGAATCTGAGGTGTTGATAATAATGTGATCATTGTATAGTTTCTTTACATTTTCATTACTGTTTCGTGATATTATTGTTTAGTCAGATGTGACTCCCTAACCTCTCTTCGTAAAATTTTTTTAATCCCACCTCATTTTCCAAGACATTTTTAATATGTCTCTTATTTCGTAATAATTTTTGATCATAAAATGACAAAATATTTCAAAAAATAATCAACGAGCTCATACAACTCCATTTTACATTGTTGTTTTATTTTCATCCTAGTTTCAGGTGGCCTTGTCGCCTAAAAGTTTCCTGAATGACACACTTAATCAAACTTTTACTGTTGAACGAAGTGATGATAACAGTGTGGAGCTATGCAACGAAAAATTAATTGCAACAAGTTAGAAAAGTTTCCGAATGTGTTCTCTTCTTTTGCAGCTCTAGCACTCTAATATGATCCTAAAAAAGAGAAAAAGATAAGTATGGTCCCAACTAATAATGCTCTTTTGCTTCTTTTCAGCTGAAAATCTAATTGAAAAAAAAAACATCTCTGAACATAGTGAGGAATCTAATTTCGTACCATCAAATGCTTCCAGTTTCATTCGGAAGGTGAATCGAAATATAAGCACTCTTTGTAAGAACAGATCTGCTACACGTGGTGCACGTAAGCTATTGTTTAGTCATTAGTTTTTATCATGCATTTATTGGTGTCCCATTAGGTATTACTATGCATACAGTCATTTTAAGCTCCTATGGTCCTTGAAATATTTTCTGGATTTTGTTTACTAACTATCACTAGTAATTCTTTGATGAAGATTTAGTTGTTGCACGATTTGCCGCACTCCATCAAAAGTTGGCTGAGAAACAGCCAACTTTGCAAGAGGCAGATGCAAATGTGAAGCGGAAGTTTGCAGAACATGAAAGAAAGGTTCCTGATACTTTCAAAGTAAGTTTATATTTCTGGAGCTAGCAATCGTGTAAGTTCGGTTAGATTTAGCAGAGAAATTTAAGGGCGGGAGGAATAAAATGGATGCATTTCACATGTCGACTGTCAAAAACTGATCGGGTTTTTCGGTTAGGATTATTTTATAGTTAATTGAAAAAAAGGATTATCCAAAATATTTAGTTTTAACGTTCTAACTATACTAACTATACTGGATTCAGCATTCACATTATTCAATTTAAACTGTTTGTGACGATGCGATAAAATGGATATGGTCAGGAATTTATGGCTGCGGAATTTATGTTTTGTAAACTTGAAGCCAACTGTGATCTGCTGTAAATGAATAGAGGTGGTCTTAAGTAAACAGACAGTTTGAGTTTGCGGGAATAATATTCAGTTTTCAATTACACTGTAAAATTGGATAGTCTTAATGACTTTGAATTAGAAAAATAGTTTTCATAAAATTCTCAAGTAGTTGCCGCAAAACTCTATTCATTTCTAGAGGTTAGCTACACCGAAAGCTTCGAAGAAAGCAAAACCTGGAATGGAAGCTGCATTGAAGACTACTGGGTATGTCTTTGCTGTATATTTGGCAATGAATGAAATTTTCTCATCTAAACCATTTTCTTGTATAATTTCTTCTCCGCTTTTTGAAGAGATGTTTTTTCGGATCCTAATGTGCAACTCCATCAATAAGAGATTTTTAAAGATGCAAGGCGTTAGGGAAGCAGATTCATCGAATTACGTAAAGAGGCTTTGTGAATTTCTCTTGTTGTAATTTGTATTGCTTATTGTGTCTTTATTCAGGTATAAGTTCAAGAATGTCAGTGAAGATTCATCAAAGATGAATTTTTCATTTTCAAAATTATATGGCACAAAAAATGCTTTCACAACGGTGCAGAATTACGCTGATGTTGATTCACAGTCTCAAATACCACTATCTCGTAAACAAAGGATGCCAGAGGCATGTTGTTTATTTTTTTAATTTTTGAATGACCTTCATGCTTTTTTAAATGAATTTTTTTTCAAAAAAACCAGGTTGGTGTGAAAGAGCTGACGAAAAAACTCAACACTAAACAAGTCCGACATTCCTCGAGGCTTAACAAGTTAAGTAGACATACTAATTCTACAAGCATACCACAACTAAATACACGTCTGCGGAGATTGGCTACTCCGAAAGGAAAAAATCCTGAATGTAAGTTGTCTTGCAGTTTTTCGGAGTTCTTGACGTTTCTCGTTATTTGGTTGAATTGTTGGTCATTCTTTCGATACCATTCAATCTGCGGCAAGGCTGTACCATTATGGAGAATTGGTAATAGCTGAATTGGTGTATCTGTTAATGGCTTTCATTTATTCATTCAGTGTTATTAACCGAAAGCGAAGAGAAAACGCTTCGTAGATATGGGCGTCGGTATGTACCCTATCGTCGTATGATACCTTATGTGGACACCACAAGGATGACTGATAACCAATTTCAAGAAGCAAAAATGCTCGGCAAGATACAGACAATCACAGCTGTTTCTTCAAGGTTTGTTCATTTTTGTTCCTATTATGCTCAAATTTTTTCAGAACAAAGACTTACGATTTTATTTGTAACTTGGTAATGTATACTGCTAATTAATAATGGGCTATATAAATGTATCAATTTATTCCAGAACCGAAAGACGCCAACAACTTCACTTGAAACGTGACCAAGCTCGTCAACGGATATTGAAAGCGAAACGTGGCTGTTGAAGGAAATATCATCCAAGCACCAATTCTAATACTACGACACTGCTGAGATGATTAAGGCATGAAATACCTATGCTTTTTTATTTATCGTTTTGAATTTTGGCTTTTTTGAGCTTTCTCGTTATTTTCTAAAGCTTTCGTTTATATTTGGTCTCTACTGAACTAGTACTAATGTTAATCATTACTTTGTGGTGAATTTTTTAAATTAATTGTTGTTTTTCTTTATGTAGATCTTATACGTTTACATTTATAATTTTTTTCTTTATGTAGATCTTATACGTTTACATTTTGTACATGCACAACTTTTATGCACTTTCATTCATTTTATTTTTGCACTTTCATTACTTGATCTATAGTTTCAGTAAATAAATGGGCCTCAACTCCAAACTTTTATAAATGATTTATACGCTATGATCATCCCAGGATTTTATAGCTAAGAATAAGTATTAATTTGTCACTCCAGTTAGTAGTGTATCACCTTTTAAATATGTCAAATAAATTTGAAACGATTTATATCAGAACATTTTGTTATCATATCAGTGGTTTCTTCTGGGTTTTTTAATTTTTTTGTACTGTTGCCAGTCACTTAGTATGGTTACTGATGCTTCAAGATTGGGGAGAGCCGGAAGCTATATATGCTAGAGTTATATAAAGTGTAGAACGCAATGGATTGATGTTAGAGGTAATTGTAAATTTCTCCACTTTGCATCAATTTATTTAGCCATGCAAGCTTCACGGAAAGGGATCTCATTGATTCGACTCCGCGAAATGTCAACAGGCTACGTGTAAGTTATATTACTGAATATGTGAAACTCGTGCTTAAAAGATTTGGGATTTGCACTTCCCAATATTTTCGTTCTAACGACTGTTCGTGAAACACTTATGCTTGTTTCTCATTCATTCAAAATATAGTATGGAAATATCAAAGTAATAGCAGGCTGCTAAGTTTTCGCTTATTTCGTTTCATTTGCGGAATCTGGTATATCCCGGGTAATGTCGTTTAAGTCCTTCATTTATCGAGGAAGTTTTCAGTGCTCAGAAATTAAAGGGTGATGACTATCAGTATGTTCACAAAAGTGATATTCCAACCTATCATTTCCAGAGAAGTCTTCGAAGATTGCCGATTCCCAAGCTATCAGATTCATGTCGCAGGTACTTTTGTTCCAAGGACGTGATTTTTTATATAGCGGTTATTTTATTGCTAATGAGGTAAATATTTATAAACAGCATAACAGCAGTTCTTTATTTTGCAGGCTTATGGGAGCAGCAGAAGCCGTACTTCAGAAGGGAGAATTAGAATTGTTGAAAGAGCTCGTGGAAGATTTTACTGCACACGAAGGTCGAGGTAAATGTATACTCCGTAAAATCCAGTTTTCCATAATTACATTGCTTATTGTATGTAGTAGAACAGAATTGAAATTATTGTATGTAGTAGAACAGAATTTGAACAGAATTGGAAAATTACATTGCTTATTGTATGTAGTAGAACAGAAACTTTCAGAATTGCAAAAAGAGCTCATATTGCATGATAAACGAAATCTGCATACAAGCTTCATATCAGAACCATGGTTTGATATGTATCTGAGCGATCGTCTTCCATGCCCCATTAATTATAATCCATTCATGGTTTATGCTCCTGATCCAGATCCAGCTTATAATGATCAGGTATGAGTTAGTTATCAATAAATTTCTCAATTTCAGTTCCTTTAATTATGCAAGAGCTGTTGATTAACGAGTCTCTTTATTCATTCAGTTCAATATGTGTTGTCTAACTGTAAACCAATTACGAACATTTATAGACTACAGTAGATATTCGTGTAATGTATGAAAATAAAATTATTGGGAAATTGTAAGCGCCGCTTGGTTGGGATGTCTGCTGTTTTCAGTAAATGAGTTAAGTGTTGAACTAATTCTTGAAGGTTACTATTTGAATAGGATATTTCGTTACTCATTTTAGCTTACTCGTGCAACAAATTTGGTCATTTCATACGGTCGTATTAAAAGTGCATTAGATGCAAAGTGTTTAGCACCTGAAATATACTACATAAATCCCAAGGTCGCCACTTCAGCGTCATTTAAATGGATTTGCAAGTTAGTCTATTTTCATGTTCTGTTAAGATTTCTTTTTAAAAGATTATTCTATGATGAATGAGATTATTGAAAACCAACTTTATTTCAAAGCGTTTTAATTTTTATGAAGAACTATTTATTTAGGGATGAGTGAAAAAAATTATACAAAGAAAGGTGAAATATATATTTACGAATTATAAATATAATTGTGATCTTCCAGGAATTTGTCGGAAAATTTACGGTGGTATGGTGCAGCGGCTTTTGGTGCATTTCCGTTGGACATGAGCCAGTACAAATCACTTTTTGGCGGTTCACGTATTCCACAAAAAGGAAAAGACTGGCTTCTGCATTGTGCTGATTCTAAACATTTTATTGTCTTGCGCGGAGGAAGAATTTTTTCTGTTGATTTATTTGACAAGTATGGTATGTTATTGCCAAAAATAAGCAATTCAAAATTTTCAGTTAAAATGTATATATAAACGGCATAAATGTACATGACTTAGATATTTGCAGTTTAGCTTGTTTTATTATGACGAATTTTATATCTACAGGTTCAATTGTGCCTGCAGAGCAAATTCAGGCTTGCCTATCCATCATATTATCCGAAAAGAGCCAGTCAAAGTCGGAAGATTGCGTAGGCTCTTTGACTTCACTCGAACGCGACCAATGGGCAAAAGTCAGGTTTTTTGTACTGATATAAGACTTATACGAGAGGTCTTATACTAAGACTTTTTGTAATTTTTCTCCTCATAATTGCTTTAATTATTTGCTGCTTAGCGTTCGAGGTTCCCACTCCGACTTGACAACTGCAACAGTTTTGAATAAGCAGTCTTTGATGCACTCAGGTAGGTAATCTACAAAAAACTGTGTTGACAATAGAGACATAAAAAGATTTGCATAATTCAAAATTTATTTTAGATTCGTTCTGAGTTGTCGTCAATTGGCAATAATTCAGCAAGCTTGGCACTAATCGATAAAAGTTTATTTGTCCTTTGTTTGGATCATTTGGAAAGTGGTAATTTAAGTCAATTGGCCGAGAACTTATTAAGTGGTGGTGACGCGAGGAACAGGTATGAATTTCTAAGGAATTTCATATGAATTTTTAATGCAGGGTAGTCGGCTAACTTTTGACACGACGACAAATTTAAGTGAAACAATCCGGATGAATATCCTTTCAAATATTTATTTTAAGAGGATATCCGAATTATCTTAGTGCTCTTTTTGATTAAATGGGTGATATATTACTTTTTAGATGGTTTGATAAATGCTTCCAGCTCATAGTCGACGCGCAAGGTATAGCAGCGATAAATTTCGAACATAGCTGGGGCGATGGTGTTGCTATACTTCGCCTAATGGAAGAATCATTCCGTGATACGAAACAAAATCATTTCGTTCATCCCAATCAAACTTCCAGTGTCGAAGCACATTTAGGAAGTAATTTGCGACCAGTTGGTTAGTATTTTTGATATGCTGTCACTGCGCAGAACTCTGAAAGACTTCTAAAAAGCGATGTCTTATGAGAAAGAGCCCAGCAGTGGTTTGAAACTACGATCTTATAAAGAAGACATATGGGTAATTGAGTTTGAACAACGGAAGGTTTTATATCATTAATGACATAAGCAGTTACAGTCAAATAGTGTATCCGATAGTGTAAATATAGTGTAAATAGTGTATCCCTATGTGTGACAAGTAGTATCACAATTAGTTGAAAAAGTAATTTCGATTTCTGGTTTAGCAAATGCCATGAAATATTTTTCAGAGTTCATGTTGACCGACTCAATACGTCAAAGGATTCAAGAAGCTCAGGAGAAACAGATTGCGATAGGGTCCAGAATATGTTTCAGCACTGCAGAGTATTTTGAAATGAATCGGCAAATTATCAAGCAGTCAAAGCTATCACCGGACTCTCTCATGCAGTTAGCAATCCAACTAGCTTTTTATAAGCTTTATAAGGAATTCGTTCCATCTTATGAATCCTGTAGTACTGCTGCTTTTCTAAAGGTAAACTTAAGCTCATTCACGAGTTGTTAAATTCTCGTAAGCTCTTTGTATATAAATGAATGATGACTATAATAATATATAAAAATTGGCACTCTTTTCATATTTTAAAATGTTTTAAATGACACAAGATTTTTTACTACAGCAGCACGCGATATTTATAGACGGCAATATTTAGTGACTATCAAAACCTTGACCTTCTAAATAAGCTTGACAATGACATACCTTTTATGATGAATTTCAGGGACGAACAGAATGCGTGCGTTCAGCAACATGCGCTACAACTGATGCAGTTCTGGCAATTGAAAATAACAAAGGCAATATTGAACATCTGAAGAAGTGTTCTACAATGCATTTGCAACTAGTGAAAGAAGCTGCAACGGGTAGTTGATGTAGTTGATATTCAAAGATGGATATGTTGCTATTATTAATGTTAAAATGTAATTCCATTGAAGGTCAAGGTTTTGATCGTCACTTAATGGGTTTGCGTTGTACTGCTGAGCGGCTTGGTTGGTCACAGCCAAAGTTGTTCAGTAGTGCAGTGTACAAGTATATGAATCGCTTCATCCTGTCAACATCGACTCTCTCAACAGAAACGATAATATTTGGTGGATTTGGCCCGGTTGTTTCTGATGGTTTTGGTATTGGTTATAACGTACTCAACAACAAAATGGGAGCTCTTATTTCATCTTATAAGGTCATTGTTAAAGGCATTCCTATCCAATCTTATGGATTTATTTAGCATAAACAAAACGGAAACGACTATATTTTTAAGATGCATTTTGTAAGAGGCAGGAAAATTCTAAGAAAACTTTTTAGATTTAAATCATAATAATGTAAGTAGTAGACGGATTAAAAGAAACCGTCCGAAGACAGGCATCATGAGATTTATTTGGGAGATTGGTTTACAATCCGTTTCAACTGGTTAGGTCGAAGATAAATCTTAGTTGGAGAGTAGGAGGTGTTGTTTCGAATTTTTCATTTTAATGAAGTTTTAAAGCTGTCTTCAACAACTTAATAAAATGGAATTATTCGATATTGAATTTTTTTTTCACTTTTACATTGAAAACCTTTCTTCAGAATCAGCGCAGTGCGGATGCATTTGCAGGCTCACTTCTAGAAAGTCTGGATGTTTTGAAAAATATAATCATTAAGTAAACAGATATGTGATAAGTCACTACAACTTTTTGTCTTTCATACTTTTATGCTGTGATAGCCTGAATTGAGCAATAACTCATCCTGTTTTTGTTTCTATTCTGATAAATAAATATGCATAAAGAACGTTTTGTTATTTTGCAGTTTCGGTATTATGCTTCTAAGTATGTTTTTTTTGACTAATTTATAAAAATTAGTGGGGCAAAATTTCAACTTCCTCCGTTAAATAAGAGTTACTAATTTGTTTGTGCTGGCTCTATTTTTATCAAAACAAGTTGAGAATTGTAATGTTTTTTGAACTTTCTAGAAGAGTAAACAGAGACTATAAACTCCTGGCCGCTTTCGAGAATTGGAGTCTATAAGGGACTCTTAATTGCAGAAAAAATTTTGTATTCAGGGAATTATGTTAAGACTAAAACGGTTGTTATTGAGTCAGCTGCGGATGTTCGCATTTAATAACAATCGTGAAGTACTGACTGATTATCACTACACTCCTTTCGGTAAGTTCAGTTTTTTTTCGGTTCTTTTGAGTCGCTCATCTTTTTTGGCCTTTGGCTTGTAGTCCAAAATTTGATTTGTTTAAATCACTCCATTCTATAAAAAATAATTTAGTTTGAGTTATCATAGTTCTACTCACATTTCAACATGTTTCATAAACTAGGGAAGTTTTTTACACAACTTTCAAACAATGGATAAGAGATCAAGTGAGTGGTGGAAAAGTAAGATTTAAGTCTTCTTTTCAGATGATAACGATCAAGGACCAAGAACAAGTCTATCACGTCTAAATGATGAAATGCAGAAATGTCAACAGATTGGTATTGAAAGTATCAGTAAGTATGGTTTTCGTCTGTACGACGGTCAGTTTCTTTATGGTCCGATTGCAATTTTTCCGAAAGCTGTACTATCGTGGCGTATTCTTACACCAGATGATATCACTCCCCAATCAATGCAGTTTTTTGTGATGCTTGAGCCGAAGTTGGATGTGCTGGTAGTTGGGCCAGGAGATCGTAAACATGTCGATCCCGTTCGAAGACGAATTGCTCCTTTTTTGTCCAAACATAAAATTGGACTCGAAATTATGCATTCGGCAAGTTATTCTTTACGGATTTTTTCCAACACTTTCATATTGTAAATCAGTCACAGTTTCTTCTGCAGATTTAGTAAGATAATTTTTCATCACTTTTAATCCTGAACTTGTATGTACAAATTTTTTGTATAGCTTCATTCTGACTTAACAATATACTTACATCGCTATAATACCCTTTCATTCTAATGTAACAATACACTTACAGGTGATTTCCCCAGCATTATTTCATCGATTATGTAATTTTTTCGAAGTGATCGTCGACTGAGATGAACACGATTTTAATCCTTCGAAAATTTGATTTTAGGAAGAAGCAGCAATGTTATTCAATATATTAAATATTGAATACCGCTGCGTGGCTGCAGCACTTTATCCACCGGATGATCTGTTGGTAACAACAAACGATCAAGTACGCTTAATGAACAGGTACGGCAAACCAGGAACTATTGGTATGGATATGGTTAGTGATAGCGATGACAAGTTGGAATTGGCAAAGAAAGCGATGCGCAAATATTTGCCGGAAAATGAAGCGAAGAAAATAGATGATTTGCAAACTTCGAGATTTTTGATACCGGGGAAAAACGATGATAAGAATAGCGAAAAAAATTTTAACTAAATAACGATCTTTGCTAGGAATGAATCGTGAAAAAAATAGCCAAAACATAAGGGGTTTAATATACCACTCTTCTTGCAGTTTGACAACTATAAGAAGTGTGCTATCTGGTATTTCTAAGCATTTGTCACATCCTTGCTTTAATATTTTTAGCAGTTCAGACAAAATAAAAAATTGTAGCGAATAGTTTTGTTGCGGCCCTTTTTCTTTTCGTTACACAGTACAATGTAACCGTAGGCTTGTATGGAACTTTTTCATGTGATGCTTAGCATATTTGAGTAAATACCAGTTGCGCTCGAAGAAGTGTTTAGTTTTAAATTTTCTGTATAGTGATTATGTTTAATAATAATATCACTGTATACTTCATTTCTTGCTCAAACATCTGCTTTATAAAATACCAGACAGTGAAATGTATTTTTGATGCGGTTATTTAAAGAGCAGTATTCTGTTACCAAATTCATTCTTGTGTAGGAGTTGGTGGCGTAGTGGGGACAAAAGGTTTAGCTTTGATGTCTCAGTAAAGTGGGTGAACGGATCTTAGCTTTGATGTCTTAATAAAGTGGGTGAACGGATAAGTACAACGTATTCGTCGATGTGGTTTCTCATCCTGGTGCAATGGTAATAAAAGTTTTAAGTACATTAGGTCAGTGAAGCGGGCGAACGGCTAAAGTACAATGTGTTTATGTACGATAAATGTTGTAAATAGCTGCATGAATAAAGCGTATTTAAAAGTTTTTGGTTGCATTCGTTTGATGTTTTCAAGACGGCTTTTAATACTTTTGTTTTTCTTTGCGCTAAACTATAAAGCTTAATATTTATAATAATATTTCACTAGTAACTTAATGGTTTGAATTTTTTTCTTTGATTAAAAGAGGGCAACTTCTAATTATCTAGATTATCGTCCTAGATTCAGTTGTCGCCAATCATCATTTTTTTTAAATGAGGTTAATTTTAGCGACGAATGAGACTAGCTCTGTGGGAAGCACGTCATGCGGCCGCGCTAAAGAATTACGATGCTGCGGCTCGATCCTATATGACATTATTCAATGACCTTGAACTCGAAGATCGACGAAAATATCTGGATGAATTTGTTTCTGTATTGGAAGAGATGAGTTCAGACGATGGTGGCGGTGATTATTCGAGACAAATTATGTTACTACTTCATAGTCGTGTGCTATTCCCGCATGAAGCTGTTGTTTTGAATGCATCAGCTAAATTCTTCTTTGCTGTTGGTAAATTAAGCTTCATTACTTATTATTTAAAATTTAACCTTGTTGAATTATCTTTATTCGTTCGATACCGTTGTGAGTTGTCGCTTTCTTATCTTCACATGTGTATAGCTAGCTATCTGTGTTGTGCCATGGAATATAACTGAATGAAACGTGTGAGTGAGGTCGCTCACATTTGAAATTAATGTTTGCAAATCGGATTTAATAGATTACTACGAAATTTTCGCTCTTAATTCTTTCGACTTTCTTTATGGTATAGCTGTAAATTATGAAGGCAAATGTCGTTATGTTAAGTTATTTAAAAAAAAAAAAAAAAAAGATGTTGTATTGTCCCTTACATTAATTAGACTCTTTTTGATGATTTGGTTCTCTCGAATCCGTCATATGGGAAGTTTGGGTTGGTGTTTAATATGAGATTATGTGTCCTCTGTGTATTTTTAATTACATAAATATATGTATAGTAATTTCAATAATATTCGATATATTCAATTTAGGGCGTCTTTTGGAAGCTTTTGATTTTGCTCAGGAAGCAGTCAGTGGAAGCGAAGGTCTACCACATGTTTATGCGCTTGTAAACTTGGAAAATATTAAATCGAATATGTAAGTTATCTGGAGGATATCCTTTCTTTTTTTATTAGCATCTGTTATAATTTCTGTTTCAAAAGTATTTCCAGTCGTCGTGTGCATTGTATTTTGTGACGAGACGTGATTGCAAACCATGCCAATTCGTCGTAATAATCCATCTCAGGAGGTCCATGAGTGATTCTGTCTAAACAAATTCATTTGATTTTATCATACTTATGATTAGTCGAAATTATTAGCTAGCCAGTGAATGATGGATTAAAAGCAATGGTGTGTCGGCTGGGATCGCGGATTTCTCTTGCAAGACTCATTTGCGGTCTCATCCATCGTGTGCTAGCATATTAGTTTATCCGAGATCATTCGTTTCATTGCATGATGGATAGCACTGATGATTATGCTGTAATTTTCGCACCTGTAGATATATCACTTCAGTTAAGTTTGAATGAGGAATTGATTTACTTGACTCAATGTTTGGTAGTTTTAATGATCATAACTCAACAAAAGTTCTCTTTATTCCACTGCACTCAGTGAGATGGTAGCATTTTAATTTCGATGATAATTTTTTTCAGCATGGACCAGTGGCATTGGGCAATGTTAAATGATGCTAAGCGTAATGCTGCTTATGCGGCTGCTATAGAACTTGTGGCTAATTGGAGACCAGAAAGTCGTGTTCTCGATATTGGTACGGGCACTGGTCTGCTCACATCAATTGCACGCAGGTTTATTGCACGCCTTTTGACCTATGCTTAGCTGATCATAGATTTAAGATGAGAATGCATTAGCTATCTAAATTAAATTTTTATTCCTCGGATTTATATATAAGTTATATGCTAAAAATAGATTTAAAGTGAAACTTTTGAGAACAACATTTTTACGTGACTCTCTCATTTTTTGGACTAGTCATTGCAAAGCACAATATTTTTTTGATGAATTTTTTGTTAAAGGCACTTCAAAAACGATGTATATTGTTGTGAAGTTGATCTGAATATGTGTGACATTGCTGAGAAAGTACTGAATGAAGCGGTGATCCGTAAACATTCTTCGGATGTTATGATCGAGGATATTGGTTCCGAAAAGGTGGTTGTTACTTCTGGTGAAGAAATTAGATAAGTTCAAAGATATATCAAGAAGTTGTACAATAAATTTGTTAGTTAACGATATTAATGATGATTGCAAGTGGATAATTTTTCTTAGAGGGACTTGATACATCAGATTAACAAGTAGATGGTTTTTCTCAGAGGGACTCGAGGTATCAGCGTTAAGCCACTCTGTTTGATTGTAAGTTATTCATTATAGATTTATTGGTCTAATTTTGCATAAACACAGATATTCTTTCTGCAGGTAGATGTAATAATTACCGAAACGATGGACTGTGGTTTATTAGGAGAAGGTATTGCATGCTCATTATATGACGTACAGACACGAATCTTGTCATCGTCACCAATTATTGTTCCGAGATGTGTAAGGATTTTTGTTTGATGAACCTTTTTTCTTGATATCCCCAAACGTTTAGCTTTTACCTCATATGTCGTTAGATGGAATAGGATTTACAAATCTTTTAGGCAACGGTGTATGCATGCATCATCGAGAGTCCAGCAATAATGGATGAGCATATCGCAGTTTTTTGTGGACATCGTTTTGCTTCAGATAGCGTCACATTTTCATACGGTATGCCTTTCCTGCTTTTGTTAAATTATTTTTTGTATAATTTCACGTTGCATGTTTTCCGCTTCATGCATAAAGTAAGTTGAATATATTTTTATTTCCATTTTGGATTGCGTTTTCTTATTTGCTAAGAATGCTTATAATTACTTGACGACTTGCTTCAGGCAATTTTTTAATTCATTATAGACCCTCAGAGAAGATCAGAGATGATGGAACTGGAACCATACTGGTGTTCTTCAGTAACTGAAATTCGTGGAGGATACAGAATCTTGAGCAAAACTGTTGAAATATTCGCGGTAAATTTTGACAGTTGTGCAGAACTGGAAAAAATTGTTAACGATGGCACCACAGATCTGCGAATGGCCCCCATAATACGTGATGGTACTGCACACTGCATCATGGCATGGTTCAGGTTCGTTAGCTTCTTCTATTAGATTGAATATGTAATACAAATACTGTTTAATTTTAATAAAATACTTCCTCCATTTGAAATTATAATTACAAATTCTTTGAAGAAGGAAGAGGCGAGGAAGAAGTGAGAATACAGAGTTATCTGGCTTATTGGAAATAAAGGATATCATTTCTTTAATTAGATCATAAATTATATTAATTTGTAGATTTTCAATTGCTTTAGCTATAGTTTGCTTCAAAGTTATTTATCATCAACCTGTATTACGGATGGTGAAATTTAAGATTTCAATTCTTTTAAGCTGCGTATTGTTTCCTGGTGCACCAATTCTTGATACAAGTCCAGAAACAGGCGGCTGTTGGCAGCAAGCATTATATCCGTTACCAAAACCGATAACCTTGCATCGGGGTGCCATTTGTACATTGAAAGTTAAGTCTTTCAAGGATCGATTGTTGTGTGCTCTTCGAGATATTGTTATTCCTGAAGATCTTGAAGTTGCTGAAAATGCAGGGCAATCATGCAGCAGTAACAATGACAACAGCACATCATTCAAAGGGAATAATACTGAAGAAGAATCAAAAATTGACGAAGATGAAGAACTACCATCGAAACGTACCAAGCATGATAGCGAAACAACTGCCAATATGATAATTAGTTATAAGAATTATGCATCAACGGATGCTATTACTGTTCTACCCAATAACGATTTTTTATTGATGAACGATAAGCAGTTAATACATTTTTTCAAACGCAGTTTGGTTGATATCCAACGACAAGAAGGAATGTTAAATAAGGACCGGGATATCTACATCCTTGATATAACCAATTTGGGTGCAGTGTCGATAGCTATGGTGAATGCGTTTCCAGAAATGCAGTTTAGTTGTTATAATAATGACGCCCATAAACTGGTTCATCTTTTCTCCCCTCATGTCCACAACTTTGGCGCATTTCCGGATAATCAAGGTCAGTTATTTTTTTGTCGAGAAGCAGCAATGAATTAAGATAACTCTTTTTGTTTCCTGTATATTTGGAAAGTAATGGGATAATCCTTCTCATAGCGTTTGGTGACCTGATAGTTTCTTCTAAAAACGTTTAAATGTGTGTGCAACGTCTGACTTTTGCGTCGTTGCACTTATATGCGTGCCAAAAAATTACGGCGGTTCCGCTAAGTCTTGCTAATTTCCCCAGTTTGTAGATGTTGAGTTAGGAATAATAGAAGGGAGATCGGAGCTTTTTGTACTAACCTTGTTCATTTTAAAAGCTCTCAATTACTTCTTTTGTTTCAGATTCTCTCTTGACAGATGGGAGCATGACTGAGAATGGCTGCCCACTGATATCATCCAAACCCCCTCGAACTTATTTCGAGGTAACTTTCTTTTAAAGAAAATTATCCTATTTTACGGTTCACAGATCATTACTTTTCTTCAACGCCGCATTTCTTTTAGGATGCTGAATGTTCTGATGCACTAATATGTTGGCCAGTTAGTTCGCATGGGTTTCTTCTGGAAACAGTGCTAAATCGTGTGCTCAGTTTCCGTCTTTCTAATCAGCAAGCGCAAATTATTCCATCGAAGATTTCGGTTATGGGTCAAATTGTGAGTTGCCCCGATATTGTAAAACGATCCAAGCCATGTCCTTCGGCATATCAAGGAGTTGACCTCTCAGCAATCACTGATCTCGCTATTTCATTTTATTATGACATCGAGGTATTTATTGTCATAAAGCTCCAAGTTGCTCATTCCTGTTCTGGAATTTCATCACTTTTTCCTTACTTCTTATAAGTTTATCAAAAGCATGGTCTTCACTTTTGAAATATGATTGTGTTGAGATTTTACTGTTGTCAATTCAAGTACAGTCCGGTTTATTTCAGCTTTCTGTTTTAAAGCATGAAGTATTTTCTAATCCATTTGAACTTATGGCCATTCGATTTGATAAGGTTCAGGTTCTTTCATTTGTTCAAATATGTTTTATCTATGTGCGATTACACATGCAATAATATTTTGAGACAGTTTTATTGTTTTAAAATTTATCAGTTTCTTAAAAAATTAGATCTCATCAAATGACTTTTTAATTGGCTTCTCGATAGTAAATATTGTTTGACGCTCGCTTCCTGATTAGTGTATGGATGTGTTATTTTATCATTTAATATGTGGGCGAGCTAAACTTCTCATTGTTAGCCGACGCTATAAATAATCATAGTCATAATTTATCAATTTTTGTTATTCCGGTATCTATTATTCTTTGCAGCCAATGCCAGTAAATCGATCGGAAATGCCGGAATTTATTTGCCTTACCGAAATACCATCGGAATTCATTATCAATGCAGATGGTGTAGCCGATGGTTTACTATTCTGGTTTGATGTTGAAAATGGCAAGCATTTGTACAGTACTCGCTCTTCCAATACTCTCACTCGATGTGCCTTATATTTATTTGACGAAAGTCGTGAGGTGTCGAAATATGATCGTATCTACATCAAATCTTCTAATTATCATGGTAATTTGACCTTTGAGATGGTATGATATGATGAAGATATTCATGATAGCATTCTGAATCATTCTAAGATTACAAAAAATTGTAATCATTTCTAAAATTTTTTCTGTCATTATAATAAAGATCATTCTGCAAAAGTTTTCCTAGCTCTTCTAAATTACATAAGCGATCACTGATATGATTATGAAATCGGAGCTTAAATATGTATTGCAATCATTTGTTGTGTTGCTATAGAAAATATAAATATAATTTTCCTTATGTTACTTATGAGTTGTTCAAAAAAATTTTAAGGGGCTATGCCTTTAAAATTTTAAGGGGCTATGCCCTGTCTACGGAACAATTTAGTCAAAACTAAACACAAAAGGTAAAACACGCAAATAAAGTTATAGTTAATAGTAACATAATGTCAAGCAAATTTTCATAAATACATGATTAATATTGTCGATGTTGGCGTTCATGCTGCATAAGAAATAAACTTTGGTTTCAAGAGATTTAAAAAGAAATAATTGAAAGACTAGATTAGATTTAAAAGCTCTAAGACTAATTTAAGAAAATAGTAGGTACAATCAATAAGTGCAATTTCATACAGTATAGCAACGTAATTAATCTTTAATATGATTTTATTAAAATGTTGTTTTTTTGTCACTTTATAGCGAAAGATCTCGTCGTAGTGTTCTGCACTCCGTTTATAAGTATTTATATCGTTTTGTATGTTTTTCAGTTTTTTATACTTCATTAGAAAGTGCCGTGGGAATTATTCGAATGCTTATTTTATTTCATCGTTCTTTTCTGGTTGAAATAAAATGAACGGAAAAGAAGTCAAATGATTTGACATTTAAGAAACATTGATTTTGAAGATAATCTTCAACAATGAACATTTTAATCTGTTAGAAACAAATTATTGTCTTTGTTTTTAACTAATTATTTGTGCATAATAATTTCAAAGTACAGTCATTAACATGAAAACATTGATTTTTTCTAGCAAGGAGTATGTTTAAATAAAAATATTAATCGTTTAATGTTGCACTTGAAATTAATTAGATTGAAGGGGGCCTCTGGATCTGGAAAAATCTTGTTAACAATTTTATCATAGGCCGAGAAAAGAGGTAAACTGTTAAGGATACGAAAGGAATGACAAACGAATAACTGCTTTTATGTAACAGGCATACTGGCGTACTTATTTCTCTAGCATTGCTTTATTATGATCTTTATTAATCACTTGAAATAATTTAAATAGACTCAAGTGAGATATTTTGACTTTTTGAAGAGTTATTCGATTGTCATACTTTCCACTGTTTATATGGCTTTTTCTTTAATTTTATTTGTATTTATATAGCTTTTTCTTGGCTTAGGCTTAGACATAAACTGAAATTCTTCTTTAGATCTTTCGGAAATAACACTAAATATTGCAATTCATCCGGAAATAAAAGCTCAGTCATTTTCTATTTCATCTATTTAATATTTCAGATTGCTTAAGTAAATGAGAATGCTAATTTCGCTCACTCTCATTTATGATATAATTTAACATAAAATATTCAGTTTGTCAGAATTAGTAAAGGATTCATTAATTTTAATCATTTTATTCATCTGTTTATATTGACGAACAAAGCCATCCCAATCTTCGTTAGGTGATCGAAAATTTTCAACATACGGTCCCGCGACTAATACACTTCGAGTTTCTGAAAAAACTCCTAGGCTATGCTTTACTGCCAAATATATTGTCACTGTAACATAACAGGTGTTACTTATAGCTTAGATCAGATATTTATGAAGGTTAAAAAAAAAAAATGCTTCAAATTTTAAAATTTCAATTTATTCAATTTAAAATTTTCGACACTTCAACATTTTTTCATCTTATTCGATCATAATAGAAATGATTTGTGATAACTGGTCGTTGTTTTTCTGAAGTTTTAGAAATCGTTTGAAATCCATCAAAATATTCAATTGCCCCAAATTGAATGATTCAAAAAATGTCGTTAAAATTGCTGTACACTATACAAAATACGATGTTGTTTTCCTCGTTTTCCTCGTATAAAGTGTTGCAAATGAGTTGCAAATAATGAAATTCAACTTTGCAAATTGCAAGTTACAAGCTTACAAATTTATATCCTAATTATATGGCATTTACAATCTCTAATATTTCTTTTATAAATCACTTTTATCAAAATGACATTTTTCTTAAACAAACTATTCATGATTTTTTTTCACGTGCCGCTACCATTATTACAACTATCATCACTCATCGCTTCTTTTCATTACATTTATCACTGATTATGGGCATATTATAATAATATGCCACTTTATAGTGCAAGCTAACTTGAAGGGATCTTAATATAGTGTGCAATGCCGGAATAATCAACATATTTACATTCTGATTAGAAATGAAATATAACAAATGAAAAACTTCAAAATCTTCGAAATTTATTATTACTTCTTAATCGTCCGTCCTTATGCTTTGTGGATGAAATTTCTTATTCATAATCGATTCAAAAATTGTTGAAAGGAAATAAATAAGAAAATTAAATTTTCTTACAGTCAAAATTTGTTTTAAATCATTTGGGATATCGATCAAATGACTAAAAAATGCTTAGTAATTAATTTTAAAATGTTTCGTTTGAGGAAAGAATTAGATGGAATTCTTTCTGCAGATTTCCATCGACTATTTACTTGTTTTTAGGAATTTTTCTGGGAATATAAAAGTAATTTATTATCGCTTGTTTTTATAGTATGGATTAAATAAACTGCGAGACAAAAATCTGAATTTTTTTCTTCACATACCAAACAATTAGGCAAATGGACAAATGTTAAGTTAGCAAATAGATAAACAAACAATATAAGCAAAGTAAATAATGTAAATAAAAGGTTTATAATAGAATCTAAATTCTTGATTTATAGTTATTTTACTGATTTCATCCATCAATTATCATTATTTCTTTTTATACTATCATTTCTGAAATTTTTGATTACCATTTTCAGCAAGTTAAATCAAACAGCAATGGAACTCACCGAAATACCAATAAATGACCGAAAATAATGATTTCGTCGTAATATACCATAGAGAGTTGTTAAGATCACTGCTACCGGGAGTGTTAAGTTAATACGGCTGGCCGAAAACGTGTGAGAATCAGTATAGAAATAGCTGATGTCGATAGCAATTGATTATTACAATCAATTTGACATTATTCTGTAGATGATATTTTCCGGCATATTAGATCAAGAATTATTTTGAAAGGATGTATATCTAATTATGTGAAAACATGTGAGCTGTGTAAACCTTCAAAATCAACAATATTCATGAAATGAATAAATCTTTTCAGTGATATTATTGTAGTAAGCTATAACACGAAGTGATGTGTATTTGATCAAATCAAATATTTCATATCTAACATTTGAAAGCTTCTGGAAATTGATAAGTTTGTTTTATCAAAATTGATAGAGGAAGGAAAAGTAGACAAGCACTAGACACTATAACTTTTGTTGTGTCTATCATGAATGTCCACTCTGGATAATCCGGTCAGAGACAATTTACAATCTATTTTATGAAAAATGAGAGGAAAAGAAGAAAAGATGGTAAAATGAGGAAAAAGATTTAAAATATTCCTAAAAGCTTTTTCATTATGGAATTGTTACTTATTCATAATGCACCAAAATAAAATAAATTTCTATTATTCAAAAGCAAAGAGATTAACTTTTTGAGTGAAAGAAAAAATTTTTTGGACTGTAACTTACCAAAACTTATGCAAATTCCTTCTTCAACAGAATCAAATTCTGTTCTCTTTTTCAGATATTCTCACACTCTAATTCTTCCTATAAAAAAGAAATTCACTTTCCAGCATTTTCTCCAGAAATAATTTCGAGTAGGCGAATTCCAAAAAAGATTTCTGACGCTGAAATATGTTGTGAAATTTTGATTTATCCTTCAAAAAATCATATCATCATACACCAAACATGACTAAGAAAGTAAAATTTCTCTCCATTCAACGATACATTGACTCATAATCTCCCTTTAAATCCTTCAATTCTATTTATTGCAGCGTGCAAATCCTCATTGTATACCCTGAATCGCAATTGGTATGAAAAAATTTTATGCATGTTAATTTAGCTTCATTATTACGTAAGCAGTGCAATAGGTATCCGGTGTTAGAGTTTGTAACATCTGAACTAAAAATATGAAATTTTCATTGATTAACTAAAAATCTGAAATTTCCATTGACTACCTTTAGGGGACTATTTCACTGAGGAAATAGATGAGTTGATATCAGATTTAGTAGAATTTTTTACTTATCGATCACATTTTTCAGTATAATTCTTCTTAAAAATGATTAATTTGAAAATTTATTACTTTAAACTTTTAAAATATATGGAAAGGAGGATTTAATTTTTGTGCATGTCTTAACATAGACAATCAAATGTATACTTACACACACATATGCATAACTTTTTCCATAACTTTGAAAACCTTTCAACAAAACAAAACAATTAGGATCGACAATTTCAGACATGAAACGAAACACACACCATTGATTGCTTTTACCAATTCTTCTTTATTGTCTGACACTTGTAGACAATCGTAGACAATAAAAAATCGTAATAGTACTATAATATATTCTTAACAGTCTAATTATCAATAAGTTGTTAATAAGAGGAAAAGAAGTAAATATAGTTCATTTGCGTTCATATTAATAAATTTAAAAATATCAAGATTTTGCATTTAACTGAATATCACAATTGGTCGATCGTTATTTCGAAAGCTAAAACTTCCAGAACTGCAGAATCAAAATTTAAGTAACGCAGTTCATGATTTAATTTTTCTTTTCTGGTTCCAAATTTCAGCATTCAAAATCAAAATTATATTTTATAAATGTGAATTATATAAAAAGGTAAAGAAATGGAACAAACAGATTAATGTGTAACAGAACTGACATATACCTTTGTCATAAAAATTTATACGGATAAAAGTAGAAAATTCAAAAACTTCAATTCAAACTTAAGAAATGACAATAGCCACTGGAGAGAGGCCAAATATATTTTAAATCCTGAAAAGATAAGGAATCTCATTAAGTGAAAACAGAAGAATCCAATTTTTCAATAGCATCTGCTGACCAAATGGGTAATGATACCCTACAACATCAAAATGATGGGTACTTCAAAATATTTAAGTGGGATTCTATTAAATAATAAAATTACTGCAATACAGATATTAAAAACCTATTTTCATGGCTTCAAGAAAAAATTATGGAAATGCCTCCATACAAGTCGCATAAAATTACAGATCGTATCAACATATCAATCTACTTTATCGAGTAGTGGCCAGAATGAACGAATGAAAACCTGTTTGCATTTTCAAAATAATTATGTCTATTAAGCATTATTATATTCAAAATTTTATTGTACAACAAATTATTTTGAACTAGCAAAGATCTTCAAGCACAAAAAATAGCTGAATTCAAAACAGTGATTTTCGTGTGGAAGGGTTTAAATAAGGATAAATTGAAGGATGTAACTGAAAATCACTGTTTTTTGCAGTAACTTGAAAAAATGAAAAAGCAATTTTCTCACATATAAAATCAATAACAGGACTAAAAACAATACAAATTTTTGCGCTAATTAGATGATTTAAGATCGGAAACCACAACTTAATTCTTAACTAACCACTATTATCAGTTATTTTTAATTGCCATCTTAAAGTGTTATTTCATCATGAATTCAAATTTGAAGATTTTACATGTATTATTGCAATATTAAATTCCCAGCCTACTTTAACAGTAGAAAACAACCAATAATTAAAATGTAAAACTAAATAACATCTGCATGGAGATCATTCAGAATTCATCAAAACAGCGGCAAGTGATGATAACAAAAACTGTCCTTTGAGGGAGCTCAAAACGCATAACGAGTTCGGATATCTTCCAGCTTCTTATGGATCTGAAAACAATCAAAATTTGAAATCAGTTGAATATGTCGACCTTTGATAATTTTGCTACGATTATAATTTAAACAACCATTTTGGGCATAAAAATTAAAATTTGTATTATTTATGTCCCGCATATCTTTCTCTCTTGATATGAAAAATTCATATGTTTTGCCAAAAAATTAACGAAATTGATTTTTAATTCTGCATTTAGAGTTAAGAGTAGAATAAAATGTGAAGCGATTTATACTCATTATTTCAATCTTCAAACGGTAATAGTCAACATCGCTGCATGTATTTGGTGCAGCAATGTTGACTATTACCCCTTGGAGTGATATGAAATGTTGCACAACCGCTTCATGTTACTAGATTAGATACGTCATTTCCGTGTCTTTATCTTAATGAACACTTTGCAACAACAAATTTCTCAAATTCTTTCCACATAATGCTTAGTTAAGTCGCATTACTAAGTAACTTTCAATTGTTATCTTTTGCTCATAACTGAACTTCGATTTCCGAAAAGTCGTATTCATAATTCTTCAGACGAAATTCTCATTTGCAATCAAATAAATAATAACCTCAGTTGGTTTCCTTCCCAGTTCTTCACTAACTGATTTCTGCTTATCCAGTGGCATTAGCGAGTACTGCTCGCAGAGGTCACCATCGATAATTGACTAAAATTTTGAGAATGAACGATGAAAATATGAAGTGCTTTAAAGTATTATATTTGCAAGAGTTGTTCAAATAAAGAAATGTTTCGTGAAATCGTTTATAATTTAGACTTGATGGTTGATTTTTTAACCTTCATATGTTAATAAAAGTACCTTAACAGGAAAATAATATGAACGATACGCAAGATGATCACGACCACAAAGTGGCGGATATTCCACTCTCATGTGCATTTCAAGGTTTTGAAAAAATTCAAATTCCTGCAAAGACAAGGAAGTATAATGAAAGCCATTGTTTCTGATGGATGCTCCAAAAATTCGAAATTCCTTCCGTAGCATCCACAAAGAAATTTCTTGGTTAAAGCAATGATAAACAGATAATAAAAGTAAATAACGAATAAGTTAACAAGCAAATAAAGAATTTAAAAAAATAATAGATAAATGAAAAAGGATGAACAAATAAACAAATGAAACCAATAATATGAAGAGAGTAAAGTTTCATAACTTACATCTCTAGACATAAATGGTACCAAAATTCCAATAATTCCTGAAATCGTTGTATAAGATAGGCAGTCGTTTGCACCAGGTACTAGGGATGTCTTCTGCATTGATGTTATCGCGTCACCAATATAAAGGTGAGCTATGGCTTCCAACTATGAAATAAATATTCAGGAAATTTCCAACTCCTATTCAGCTACACATTTACTTATTTGCAATTTACTGAATAAATTAAATTTTTGAAACTTATTCGACACTTGAAACATTAAGAGTAAATTATAAAAGTGAGACGTGAGAAAAATCCATCGAAGCAATGAAATTAGACGTGACAAACTTCCATAACTCTAACAGGTGTTAACAATGATATCTCGGCAAGATCAACAAACATAAGCAACAATAAAAAAAGTGACATATTAATACACCATCCCAGTTTTGACTAAAAAATTTAAAAAACTAGGAAAACGAAAACATGATTAAAGTAATAGCAATTTTTGAAAAATTAGTTTTTTTTGGAAAATTAGTAAGGCGGTTTTTTCTTAAAAAAACGAAAAAGGAAGAGTAAATAATAAATCCATAGGATGAAACTTTGTTTAGGAATATGATATTATAACCAATAATTAGGAAATGAAAAACATACTTTTTGTGAAGCTCCATTCAGATTTCCTCGATCCCATAGAGCACGCACACCGGTTGGATCTTCTTGAACCTCTTCGGTTACACCTTTAGGTAGTCGCAGCTGAAATCTAAGAGTTGAAGAACTCGAGGCTTTGAAAAAAACTAAAAATTAAAATTTAGTTAAAGAGAAGAGGAGTTATGCTTCTAGAGATATTTAAACGACTTAAAAAAAGACAAATATTTTCGGATTTCAACTCTAAATTCTTTTAAATTCTGGAAGCAAGCCATACCATCAATCCAAATATTCTAAAAGCCCACAATTACTTGACCTACACGCAATATTTATTTAACTGAACGTAAAATGATAGTCTTCGCAGATTGCTATATTTCGTTAATTCATTACCTACTATTTTATGGTACTTCGTGATACTTCGTCAACCTAATTAACTTAATCATAAGATAAATGTCTTGATTATTTGTGGGAAGTTTTATCTTTGCTACGTTATATTTTTTTCATATTTTTCCTATTAATTTTAAATCCTACTTCATTTATAAATGAATTATAAATGATTTCAGTCTGTTCCACCTCAATTTCAATTCTGCTAAGTTAATTCGAGCTATTCTACCATGACTGATAATTCTAATTTGAATTAATTAAGGATTAAGTTAACCCTTTGCTTACTAAAAATTCAATTTTTATATGTTGAAAATATACTCATAATGTTGAAAATACATTACTCTTTTCTATTAATTTCTTTTAAATCTTATTCAAATTGTATAGCTCGTTTGTAATCAGTTCGAAAATATAATATGTACAAACGAATTCGCTAATTAAACTCACCACCGCAATATTTCCAAAACGATCTCCAACTGCAACTGTGTCATAATCCAACAGACATACACATGTTACATAACGTGGAGATGTCTCATCACAGAATATCGACAACTGACCATCCTCAAATAAAAGATTCATTAAATACTTCATCCTGATTTATCACCTTAAGTACCATTAGAATTTAGATTAAATCATCCTTAAGTTCCATTAAAATTTAGATTCAAACAAAATTACCTGTTTTTTGTAACGCATGAAATGGACTGATTCCTGTGAATCACTTACAACAATACGCTGTCCCATTGATCTAATATCAACAACTTGTGTAGGTATTTGCTGCAAAACAAAGCATTAGTTTAATATGAAATACATGTTAAGCATACATATTATGATAACAAAGCATTGAAAAAATTTAACTTGAGATAATATCATTGTATTTTCCCGAATCACATGAATAACCGCAATGAAAAACGTAAAAAATTTTCAGAAAGTAATTAATGGTATCAGAAGAGCTATTTTTAGTAAATACCACTCAGTACCTCAGCATTGTTAATTTCCTGAATTAATTTTACCAATAAAGATGCTTTTTGAAAAAAGTAAAAATTCAAGTTAATTAGTGAGAAACTACATAATATATGACGTGAATGATTTCTCGTTTCTGATAATAAATTATCTTTCACTTGAATTATTAACCGAAGTAATACAGCTTTTAATTGATTAGTAAGCTGATGATAAAATCTTGCTGAAATATTTGACCGCTGCTATCAAACTCATTTCTCGAAATTCATCAGTATTTTTAACAAACTTATGATTAAGAGTAATATTTTTTCTAAATTCATTTTCAGCATTAAAAACACAGAGAAAATTGCACAGAAATTATCTAAACAAAGATACACACAGAAAACTTACAGTATTTTGCCAAACTCACTTGAAAAAAGAAAGAATTAGTGAGATCTAGTATGATAGTATTATTTTTACCAAACAACTTTTCTCTCTATGCCCAGTGCACTGCAGATACATCCAAACCCACTAAAACTTTTTCTAAACTTTTCCATTTACCACAAATATTTTCACGAAATTTTTGTTTTTGAACTTTGAAACATATTAATATAAATTTTGCGGTGCATATAAACTGGAGCTAACTAAGTCTGTTATCGCTATTAACAATGAGCATTAATATCATGACTAAACTTACTCCTCAAAATCAAACTTTCTAAGCTAGCAAACTAAAAACTTCCGATTTCCGATTTTTCAGTAGCTAGCTTTTCCGGTTCCTTTAATGATTCATTCAAATTGCATATGAAAACTCTTTTTTCTGTTGTATGACAGTCGCATTACGCAGGAAGAAAGCATAAGTTTTTAATTCTTAAAAATAAATAATTCTGCCCTGGAATTTCTTAATAATATATACTCCTGATTTCCCATTTTTTTTCAGGTCAGAATATGTAATAAGATCTCGCAATTCTTTTTCAGCGGTAATAGCAAAGGTATTACTAATGAAAAAAGGAAATGTTGCCTGTAGATGATTGATGATCGCATCAGCATCAATATTCAGAGATGATTGAAAAACATGCATTTTTTTGGCTTATTCATTTATTACGACTAAATGTATATACAGTTCCACCTTCTGACTCTAGCTGATAAGTTTGATAGGTCTTCTGCTCTTGTAATTCTTAATAGTCTGAGATAAAATAGAAAATCAAGATTACTTCTCACTAATGCTATCTTTGGGCAATTCTTAAGAAATACATTACGTGGAGAATAGACTAAAGACAGTTAGACACAATAAAGAAACTACAAGCAAATAAAAGAAACAAATTCATTTATTTACTAATACTTTCCCGGCCCTGGAGCACACCACTACATCACCGTTTATTTCCTTATTCTTAACTATCTCTTTATTAGATTAGTATTATTTCATCAAGTATTAACTTTTCATTCTTGAAGAACTGGATATTGAATCAATTTCGAGATTTCCCTTCTCTAACGCAATGAGACACTGAGTAATGAAACCGTAACAATTACACCAGATGTGGTAATTATATTATTGAGTTATACGGGAGTGAATTATTAACTTCATCAATATGAGCGTAAATTTCATTTTCTAGATGCTGACGAAAACACATCCTTATGCTCTATGAAAGTAACTTATAAACGTTGAGAAATCATTCTAATAGCACATGATTTTTTTAATAGTGCCAAGCAAGATTAAATTTCCCCATTCATCAATCCTCCTCAGCCTTCTTTACTGCAGTCCATTATCAAAAGAGAAGGTGGAAAACAGGTAGGAAAAACAGACAACAACAATTATTTCCAAATACATTCTATTAATCACAAGTACAACTTGGCTTTTGATTAGCATTCCTATCTTACTTGTTTGAATGATTACGCTTGGATATTCGGGAAAAACACCCTCCACTATTCTGAAATACCAGCTGAAACTCCTTTATGCTTTATCTTTATACTTTATATTAAATCCATTGGTTTCAACGCTCAGGAATTAGTGATTACAGAAGCTTTGAAAACCACAAAATTTTCATCTAAAGAATTAAGAAAAATATTAGAATAATAAGTTAACAAAGTTTAGGAACGAATTAACAAATTCCTAAAGCATATTCTGTATCTCTGAGCTCAATGTATCCTATTTTTCTGTCTCATTTTCAGTTATCTAAAAAATGGTAATTTAAATGACAAACAGCATATAGAAATTATATTCAGTACCGTGGAGCTTCAACTACTAGACAATTAACATTCCGTCACTGAACTGAACTACTCAGCTCCTAATTTTATTATTCACCATATAAATACATGAACCCGTTAACCAAAATGCTTCTTGGCATTTCATGAACAATATTTTCTGATATAGGTAATCTAGCTCAATGTTTCATGCAAGAATAATTAAGAGTTAAGCAAGCACAAAAGTAATTGCAAAGAGTTTCGTTTAATTCATTTAACAATTAAATGAATTAAGCGAAACTATTGCTGTTCAATAAACGACAGGATAGCTATGTCATTCACAAAATCTCCATAATGACTTGAAAAAAATTACAGGATTCGTAACAACAAATATGGGAAATCAACACTTGACTTGACTCCAAATCTATTTTATTTTATTTCTGACCACTACTCTGTCCGATTTTGATCTTTAATTTATTAAAATCTTGCTGTCTTATTATACAAATGTCAATGAAACTGTGCATTTACGAGGAATGGAATAAAACACAGCACAGTTTAAAATTCTCGCAAATATTTTTGACGATCACAGTATTTGTCTTATTGGATTTGGTAACTGTTGTTGGTAATTTGATGGTCATTACTGACGTTGTGATGAAGAAAAGACTACGTGCTACTGCCAAAACGCTTATTTTATCGCTTGCGACTGCCGATTTGGTGGTAGAATTTAGAAATCAATTACTAAAGGGTAGAAATAGAAATCAAAATGTTTCATTTTAGAGAAAAAGAGAAATTTTTACCTAATTTTTTTAAAATATAGTTTATGAAAAAAAGACTGACTTATTCTATCTTCAAGGATGGGTCAACATTGAAAGCAAACAGAAAGGATGTTAACTCTTTCATAGTAAACAAAACATAATTCATAAAAATTTTCAAGATAAATAATGATTCCACTTTAAATTTTTAAGCATCCAAATATATGACTTCTTGAAAGCATATAAACAGTCCCATAATGCAGTAAACCTGTAACAACGTCCAATATTCTAGATATTTTCCGACAAAAGGTAACAACCAACGATCACAATGCAGCAATTTCAGACTGGAATAGCAACCCTCCCGATCAATGCGATAAATGAAGTCCTGCAAGGATATTGGATATTCGGTGACTTATGGTGTATCGTAAATATTACATTGGATGCATGGTTGTGTACGACATCCATTTATAGCACAATTGCAATCATCACTGATCGACTTATTGCAATTACCAAACCACTACACTATTCCATACTGGTGACTCGCGATAGGATTTATATGACAGTTGTCGCTATCTGGACGTATTCATTCTTGTTATGCAGTCCAAATTTCCTGCTTGTAAATACTTATAAATCAGCGGATAACCAATGCAGATGCATTCCTGTGTATGCTGGTAGAATATACATCATTATCAGGTAAGTAATTGGCCAAAAATATGTAATTTGGCAGGTTCAGTAACTAAGTAGTTAGTCAGTTACTTAATCACACATATAATTAGAAGACATCTAAGTTTTCTCTATGCAGTAACAGTAACTATTTATGCACAAATTCTGCAAAATCTAGTTCTTTTGAGTTAAAGTAAGACTGCATATACTACAGTCACCAACGAGTAATTTCATATTTTCCATTTAAACATAAAATTAGAATGCTGCAGCCAAACATAACATTCCTGATTTCAGTGCGTCATTAAGTTTCTATATACCAATGGTGCTAGTAACTTTTATTTCTACAAAAATTTATATAATTACAAGACGAGCTCGATTGTTGGATATAGTAACGTCATTTAACGTGGATGAATCGAAAAAAAAACTATGCTCTAGTCAATATAAGGTTTTCCGGTGAGTTACAAGAAAGTATCAGCCAAAGCTTTGACTGGAAAAAATTTGGAGGATCTTCGAAGTTTTGGAAAAATTGTGGAGACTGAACTGTTCTCATTCTAGATAGGCTCTAACAACTGTTTTTTGATGACACTTCCTCCGTTAAGTGATGCACCCGCCCCTTCTTCTCAATTTGGTCTCTTTTGACAAATGCTTTTTCCATCTATATAAAAACAACTTGTAAAACAAGTTTTAAGAATTATTCTTAAACACCCAAATTTTCAGAGGTAACATCCAAATTAATATGGAAAATATAAGAAATATGAATAAAAATGAAACTGCACGGTCAAAAGGAAAACGAAATATCAAAGAAAATACCGTTCGAAGTATAGATTCGAATATTCATTCTGCTGCAAAAAGAGAACTAAGGAAGGTTTGAATCATATTGCCTTAAGTCTACATCATTTTTTCTATTTTGGTTTCATAAAAATGGTAATTACTTATAAGAATCCCCAAGCAAAACTAGGTGGATCGTCGTATAAATCCTACGTATTTTACCAAATATTTGAAATTTTTTGTATCTTCAATGATTAAAAAAATTTTGATCAAGATTATTTCCATCATTACAAATATTTTTACTAGTTCTTTATCGGACTGCCCGAAATTTCAGTACAACAGTTTATTACGACCAGTTCAATTCCCCTGTAGAATTTTCACAGAGCTGAAAATCAAAACCATCACTTAAGAAAATTTATTAAAGGTTGAGAACTTCAAAAACTTCTCCTCGGCTTCTATTTTCGAGTCAAATTCTCTGGAAATGAACTTCACATAATGTCGTACAGTGCGTTTAATATGCATGAGTTCTAGAACATTGATATGTTTCTTTGAATAAATAATGAAAAATCTAATTTCAGCCTCACCCTCACCGTCTAAAACATACAACGAGCGAACCAGAAATGATTAGGATTATTCAAAAGTAACTTGTTACTTCCTCCCTTTATTTAACACACTAATTCCTACTTTTTTGAAAATGAAATAGAAGAAATTACATGTTAGAGATTGGTTCACAAAGTTACTTTGAGTAAATAAGCATGAAGGTATCCGCAATTAGTTACGTCTAAAAAGAAATTCACTGTGTTATATAAATTACTGATTTCTGCAGCAATCTCAGCATGAAAGTTGGTAAAAAAGAAAACTGACATTAAATTCATGAATCCTTCAAACCTATTAACATTCCATTCTCGTAAGAAAACTTTAATCCAACCTCGAATACAATTTTTATAATCTCTTATTTTTTCTCTCTAAATCCTCTACATCAGCAAAACAAATTTCAGGAAACGTTCTAGTGAACAGTTCGATATCCTAATCGCCAAAGACCAACACCAGGGCTCACTTTTACAAATTTTCGCCAGTCCATCAAAAACTAAATTTTGTGTTACTGAGGATAAAAAACAGAATCTACAGACTAAAACTACTGAAATGATTACTATTATAAGTGGCTGCGTCATATTTTGTAGGCTTTTTTACAGTATACTTTACGGATTTTCTTTAAATGTTAGTCCACATATTTGGTCTATATCATTTTGCATGGGTCATGTTAATTCAGCCCTAAATCCTGTCATATATCTTTTTGTTAATCGTGATTTCAGGAACTATTTTAAAGAGTTCTTTACTTGTTCTACAAATGGTCGACCTTGAAATATTGAAAACTAATTACTTCTGTGAATTAAAAGAGAGTTCCAGATAACTTTGTCTAATTCCAACAACAATCATTTTCAAGAATAAAAAGTGAATTCCATAAAAAAGGCAAATATTTTCAGCCCCTCCTACCTCCCCGATAATATTGTTACTGAAAGCCAAGTCATGATAAATCTTTGGTGTTCCGAAATAATATAAAATATTTCACATATAAATAAAGCCCACGAAGAGAAAAAAGAAAAGTAAAAAATTACCCTGTTTTCACATTTAGCAAGCAATTTCCTCTTGCCAAGATCGTATAGCCGTACTTTTTTTCCCACACCAGCTAATGCCATTCCACGAAAATCATGAATGGAATTGACGACCTAAATGAAATTTATGTAGTTTAAGAAGCCTATATACTATTACTTCAATACTAGATTCAAGAAATGTATGCCAATTCCACAAATTATGATTTAAACAAAAAAATAAAATATCTTGGAATTGTTAATACGCCATTACTGTATGCTTGATTTTAAAACTAATCATTTCCCCAATTATTGCTTCTTTCAGAACATAAATATTTTAATGAGAAAAGAATCGAAAATAACTTCATCGGTTGACGTTCTATGTAACAGCTGAAGTGTGGTGCCATTAGCTGCCAGAAGGAAGGTGTAAATGCATCCCCCGTTCGCCTTTCTAGGTTTCAGTTGTAATTCACAACCACAACCAACTAGCACAAACTGTGTGTCACTTTGATTTTGAAATTGCACCATCGCTATCCTGGAATTTAGCAAGTGATGAACATACTTTAGTCATATTTATTAGGTTAATAGCACGCAGTATTATTTTCAGATAAGTCATCATGGATATCGCACTCTCCCAACTATTTTACTCTTCCATTTAGCAGAATTTAACATATGTTCTTTAACATATGTTAAATTCTGCTAAATTCTTCTCAATTTTTTTTTTTCAAATATATTTTCAAAATTTCCACAAAATATGTCAAATTTTCTTAAATATTTTAAAATTTACGCAAATGCAGCTTCATCCTCCGCAAATGGAAAATGTGAAAGTGTTTCACCGTCGTTACTGCGCATAACCCGAACTGCTGAAGCCCATTTGCCTAGAAGTAGATTTTACAAGCATATGACATTGCAGAGCTTTAAAAAGTGATAAAACCTGACAAGAAAGCATTCAAACCACTATCAAGAATGTTGAATTGAGTTTGGATAATAATGAAAGTAATTTTTGAAACTTGTTCGTTGAATTTTACCTTTCTGATTTTTTGGTGATCCGTAAACTCTTTCATCAACTTTTTCCGTACGAATTGCATCAGCCATTTCTTTCACTGCTTGTTGATCCGCTTCTTCTGCCTCCTTTGCCACTTCCATCAGTTCCTAAAAATATTGTTCGGATGAATTAACCAATAAAACATATTTTTTTATTATGGCTTCTGATATCCAGCAAAATAAGAGAAAAACGTATCATATTAATCCTTCGAAAAAAGGAAAGGCGCTCGGTATCTACAATCTGGACTAGATTTTAATAAATGATTATTTACTAATAAATGATTTAGAAATTTTCTGTAAATCTAAAAAACTCTGCACTGCCGCAGTTTATCAGAGAAAACTTTCAAAAAGCTACAAACATCAGCGAGCTGTTTCCGACGTTCCATTTTTCCCTTTACCGTAAAAGCAGCGTGATCATTTTCGATTATAATCAGATTTCCGGATGCTTTATGCACTACCATGCGCCGAGGCGTATAGTCCAGTGGATGTACAACATGGTTAAAAACGGCTCCCAACTTTTCAAGCGACAAAATCCTGAAAACAAAAAGTGATGTTTCTTAGTAATAAATAGCATATTTTAAAAGGTGTCCAGGTATGTGACAACTAATGAATGTGGTATTCAAATTTTTATGAAAGAATCCTTAAAAATGAAGTAAATGAAGTAAAATGAAGTATAAAATGAAGTATAAAAATGAAGTATAAAGTTTCGTTCGAACTTTAAAAAATCACCTCAAAGTATTTTCTGCGATAGCTACAATTCCTTCTGGACACTGTTCTGACGAAAAACCTGCTGCATATTCCAGAGCTGCATATGAAAGCGGTGTAAGATGAAATCTGCTCTGGTAATCGTACAAAAGCCAAGCTCGAGATGAAGCAGCCATGATCTGAAAACAATCTGAAGATTCGTTAAACTAGAATATGGCAAGAAATACTTCTTGAAAGCAATAAATATGGTTGGCTGACAGGTAGTTAGAAACCATCATATATTCCATTTACTGCGTTTGACTGCTCAATAAAAATTAATACAAGTTAGATAATCACCTACGTCTTGAATATTTTCGAATTTGAATATTTTCTTTGCAAACTGTTGGAAACTTGTAATACAATTTAAAAAGTTAGCTAAATCTAAAAGCTTGACATACCGCATCTTTACTTTGTATCCTCACACGAAACAATTTTACACTTTTTGTCCCCAGATAACGCGTTCTGTTATCGGTTAGCTCACCTGTAACCTGATCCACAGTGGTTCGCAATAAACATCCATTCTAAAACAGCGCGAGTTATCAATATTCCAATAAACAAATTTCTCGATAATTCATTAAAATGAAATAGTTTTAAAAATTCACATTTACAGATTTTAATTCTAGTGCACTACCTGCACACAAAAAACATACATTGCAAGTTTTTTAGGTTCAAAAAGCTGCATGTGCTACTTATCTCAATAAGGTGTTAAACAAACGAGCCTGTAAACCAATATTCAAATGAACAGTTGATGCACTTTGCACCTCGGTGCCAAACATTTCCATCACAATAATTGACTCCGGTTCCGATGGTAATGCTTGCATACTGAAAGAAATTATTAATTCCTAATGAGTTAAAAAGTTAGAATTTTGAAGCTCCTGTTTAATCTCAATGAGAGAATCGCATTTCCTAATCAGAAATAAAGCCTTTAAATACTTCTCGAAATTAGCAATTGGATTACCTAAGCGGCGAAAGACAATCCTGTGGATCCAAAGATATAATTCGTACTGTTTTGTCAGCCAAGCCTACAGTAAGGAAACGTGACCGTAGCTCTCCTTCAGGAATTTCACTTAAGCTCATGCACAGGACATCAGCAGGCAATTCACGTCGTTCGGTATATTCGTTGAGTTGCCCAGTCTGAAACGATGATATCAAAGTAAAAAACTATTACTGAGCAAAGAGAGCCATTAGGGACAATAATATAAGAGCAAAACGGCAATTTAATGCATGCTAAGCCAATAACACAACCTTTAAAAACAAAAGAAGCAAATAAATTAGCGATAAAACAACAAGAAAAAATTAGTGAGGAAAAAAGTTTCTCACTACGTCAAGTTCAAAGTAGACGAGTTCACCACCGGCAAGTGCGATTGCTACTTGCCTCCGATTCAAAGCACATTTCATAATTGTACGTTTACCCGGTGCTTTCCATTCATTCACTCGCCGGTCAGCCCTAATATGTCGAATACCGTCTGGATACACCTAAAATACAGAACTGGTGGATTAAAGTTGTTATTAGATTAAAAGTAGACTCTATTTTTATTTGAACCAAAAGTGATCCTCAAGTCCGACCAAAATTCAAATTTCAACTTTTAACTTCCCCAATTTGAAAAAAAAGTTCTCATAAAAATTATAGACAAAACTACTAACCTGCAACAAAGCATCATCGCCAATAAGTGCACAGCCAAGAGTCGGTGTTGTACCAAGAAAACCAGAATCCGTAACTTCTTCGACAGTTTCACCAATCGATAATACTAACGTTGCATTAACGAAGGATACAACGATATGAGAATCAAATTTATCTAAAGTTTGACGTCCGTCACACATAAATACATTTTTCAAGATTTCTAAAATTTTTATTTGAAGTTAACTCACAATAACTTTTTTACTAAAATTCCTTTCTAACCTCATCATTAGCACTTTATCAACAGGAATATTCGCGACACTGGAAAAAAGTTCATTGGAGCAAGGCATTATAAATCAAATGAAACCCATTAGCATATTTACAAGCAAACAGGATTTAGAAATACTTATCTAGGATGCATCTCCAAGGTACTGAGTGAAAGCATACCATCGATGTTTCGTTTTACTGTCCAAACTGCATTTGGATTACCAGGCAATTCAGAAACAGCCATTTCCGTTACTTCCAAACCATTCCGCAGCACTTTAACCGCAGAAAGTGCGCCACGTCCTACCAAAGTATAAATTTGAGGAGAGTCTTCATTAGCCAAATCGTCAATCTGTAAAACAGGTAAAGCAACTTTAGAGAGAAATTGAAATACAAAATCCTAACCATAAGATCCAGTTACAGAATTCAGAGCTAAAGCTTATTTAAGAAAATTTCATATACCATTCATCTTAATAAGAAATAAGTGAAATCATTCGAAATAGCGATTAATCTGAAAGAACATCAGAACTTACGTAGGAAAAAATAAGCGGTGATAAACTATCCATCTGGTCAACAACTGCCAAATTTGTGAGTCCGCGAGGAGCGAAAAAGAATGTTTCACCTTCTTCCAATTGCATTCGAGATGAAAATTCAGGTTCATCATCTTCGTCACCCAAATGTGCTATCTGATATAAGTGACTGGAAAACAAAATTATTTATAAATTTCAAATAATCCATCTTAAATACTGAATAAAAAATATATCCTACAATGTAAAAGAATAGAAACACGAAATAATAAGACTAATTATATTTCGATAGAGTGTTTAGCTACATTATTGACAAAATAATACAAATGAAGAGTGGTTAGGTGCAAAGTTATTCGTTATTTTATTGTTAGTTTTTCCCAGATAGGAAACACCATCTTTAATAAATTACATGATTTAACATTAAAGTCATTAAAGCAACTGCTAAAAACATACTGATTTCCGAATTCACTTGCAGTAAATAAAAATCCCGTTTTCAAAATACACATAGCATTTGAAACTGGTATCGTATCAAAATATTTGATTTTAAGTTCGGTGACCTAAAGGAGAAAGCAACCT